CCTGTGGGGCAAACCAGTCATAGGATATTTACATTGTATCAAAGTTTCAAAAAAATTATTATTATTAATTAATTATTAAATTGCGATTATCTTGAAAACTAAAACCGACAATATGGTCTCTTTTCATGTGGATGTCCACATATATATACTAACATTACTTATGAATTCGCTTTTGGTCATCATTTGATTCAAAAAATAATAATAATTAATTAAAACTATTATTAATTATTAATAATTTTACTAATTTATTTAACAAATATTTCAAACTAATTAAAATTATAAAGAAATAGAAAATTCTGTTTGAGATGGTTTACCAATAGAATTAGTAACTGTTTTTACTAATTTTTAGTAGTGTTTTACTAATTATTAGCAGAGATGTGCAAAAACCTCGAAAGGTCGATCCGAACCGAGCCGAAATTTTTTCGAGCCGAGCCAAGCCCAAGCCGGCTCGATGTATCGAGTACTCAAAATTTTCGAGTACTTGAGTGACTTCGAGTACTCGAAAAAACTCGGGTAAATTCAAGTACTCGATTAAATTCGAGCACTCGAGTGAATTCGAGTACTCGAATTTTTCGAGCTTTAACTTACTAAAAAAACTATTATTAAGGGGACATTCCAGTTCAAAATGTAAAAAAATCGATTTTTTTTGTTTTTATTTTCGGATTTCTTATAGTTTCAAGAATACTCTCCTAAAATATTATTGCAAAATTCAAAGTAAAACAAAAGTTATACATCATTATTCTTCGCCATGTCAAAGATGTTTTTGAATGCGGATAAGCAATCGAATGATTTAAATGTTTTCTCATTAGCATTTTTAAAAAAAGACAAACTAAAATGTATTTGGTGTTGCTGATCACAAATTAGATATCAAATTTTCAAAATTCAAAATGGTGGATCCAATATGGCGGAAAAGAAAATTTTTTTATTTTAATTTTTTTTCCACCATATTGCATCCGCCATTTTTAATTTTGAAAAAATGATGTCATATTCGTAATCAGCGACCCCAAAAACCCCCTCGTAACGAATTTCAGGAAATTCCAATGATTTAAAAAAAATGTTCGCCATATTGGATCCGCCATTTTGAATTTTAAAAATCTAATTCCTTATTCGTAATTAGCGACCTCAAAAACCCCCGAGTAACGATTTTCAATCAAATCCGATGATTTTTTTAAAAAAATTTCGAAACTTATTTATGAACAAAAACTTTAAATGCGTTTTTCTCAAAATGTCCTTTTTTGATCTGGTAAGAGTGATATCTCGAGTTCTTCTGCAGCGATTTTAAAAAATCAAACGGCTTTTGATTCAGCGTCATCATGCCGATAAGTGGAATCTCAAAAACTGGAAAATTTCCAACTCCCCTTTTTTATAAGAGAAATTCTGAATAAAAACACCTTTTTTTGCATATTTTGGGGAAAAAGTACTTTAAAAAAAGGGGGGGAAGAAAGTTCCACTTTTTAGAGGTTCCACACCTAAAGAAATATCTAACGAAGAGAATGTCACTTCGTTTTTGGTTTTATCTGTCTTAGAAAGTTTGAAATCGATCTTACCACCGAAAATGGGCATTTTCGAAAATGGCGTATGTCGCCGCCATTTTGAAATAAAAATGAAAAAATTTTTTTTTACAAATTCTTAAAGAAATTATTTATTACATGTAAAAGAAATTTTTTAAATAAATGTCATACTTATTTTAATAATATATACTAAAAAAGCCTTCTTTTTGCCTGTTTTGAACTGGAATGTCCCCTTAAGTAGAAAATTTCAAATTTATTCGAATTACTGAATCAATAAAGAAAATAAATCTTCGATTTCAAAGTGTATTTTTATTTCCCAATTATAAAAATCTGAAAATTATATGAATTTTCTGTAGAACTGGAATATACTCAAGAGCTCGAACTTTTTCGAGTACTCGAATTCTCTCGAGTGCTCAAAAAATTCAAGAACTCGAATGCACTCGAGTACTCGAGACATTTGTGTAACTTTCTACTAGCAATTAGTAAAAAAATTACTAAAAATTAGTAAAAAATGTTTCTAATTCAAATTGGTAAACGAATCCGCACTAATTCGGATTTAGAGATTATATATTGAAAATGGGGACTATTAATGACTACCAATGAATATAGTAAATAATGAAGGAGAAAAAAAAAGGTTTATAACATTTAAAAATTAAATAATAGGCAATTACAGTAAGTGTGCATTAGATTTTCATATTTTAGTATCACAGAAAAAACTAAACTCAAAATGAATATGCATATGATACTCATTTTGAAGTGCAACAAAAATGATACTCAAAATGAGTAAAAGCGGTATCATCTTGGGTTTATAATAAAATTACAATAACATTGGAATAACTGGGAATAGTTCATAAAAATATGAATTAAAATAATTGTTTATAATGAATAAACACTTTGCACTTGTCAAAACATTAATACTTGAAGTCAATTTATCGCATTTATGAGAAATGAAAAATAAATTTTTAGGTTAGACACTTGTGAATTGACTAACAGGGATGGGGAGACAATGTCATTTTACTCATTTTGAGTCACTTGAAGTTGTCGATTACTGATTTCGAGACCGACTTCCAAATACGTTCTCGTGTGGAAATTGCCCGACTTTGCCTTATTTGAAGAAGGGCACTGATGAGGATTTAGTGAGGCCAAACACACTAGTAAAGTCTAGATAGGTGATAATAGGGCACTATCTAGAATGCCTTCTTTTTCCAAATAGTAAAATCTAGCTGGATCTATTCATGCCCCTATTAAATATTTCAATCAGGCTCTGACTAGAATGCCCTTTTTGTCTGAACAGGGAAATCTATCTGGTATCTTTTTATGCCCCTATTAGGTACTTGAATTAATTTTCAATTTCATTGACAAATCCCAATTTATAAATAATAAGCAATGAAATTAATCAGAAAAATTGTTCAAAACGAATATTAAAATACTATTTAAAATATAAAAACTATTTGAGCAAAAATATTTGCTATTTTTAAATTTAAGAATGTTGCTCTTTTTCTCACAAGCGGTAAAGAAATGTTCTGTTTAGTATATTAGGACGAGGAGAAAGTAGATTCATAGCGTGCGAGTTAGTGTTAATTATGCGTTAGTGTTAGTGATAGGTTGATTGGTCGAAACTGTGTTGTTTACATGTGCGTTTGTTCAGTGACTTGTTCAGTATTACTGGCACAATATTACGCCTGCCGTAAATTTTTGCTTAGGTATTTAGAAAAACTAATGAGGCGCTAAAGAGGCCCTCTAGTTAAATCCCCACATTATGATTTTCTATTCAGGCAGTGACAAGGCAATCTAGTTAGAACCTCCATATCTTTCTACATCACCACCTGATATTACAAGCGTGACGAAATTAGACGGGTCCTGACTAATTTTCCTAGTTTGCACTTCACTAAACAAAAGGGCGTCTATTCAGGGCCTTACGAAGTCCTATTTTCAATTTCTACACGGGTTGCTACAAAAGTGAGTCGAGTTTTTTTATGTGTACCTACCACCGATTGGAATTTAGAAATATCGCAAACCTATTAAAATAAATAAAATTTCGCACAAGGGATTCGAACCTACGACCTAAGGACTTATAGACTAACGCCCTAACTACTATGCTAACGACGTGTGTGTTCAGTAAAGTTTTAATTTATCATTATCATTGAAACTTACAATTATTGAATCAAAGAAAAAAGTGTTAATTTTCTTTAACATAAAGTGGAAAACAACAAAAGTGAACTTTTCTGTATACAGTATACTATACACTATAATTAACATAAAACTATATTTATTGACTAAAAATGTATAAAAATAACTTTTTTGCAACACTAACCTGTAAAATTGAATTTTACACACAGAAAACTGTGTGTAAAGTACTTCATTTTATAGCGGTGTGTAAAGTGTTACTTTACACACCGCTAGCAGTGTGTAAAGTGATTTTCAGTGCGTAAAATGATTACTTTACGCATTCTTGTGACTGTTTGATGAGAAACCATGCATTAAAGCTTTTAAACAACAATTTACAATCACATTTTTATTTTAGCTTCTAGAAAACTTCATTTAACAGTTTCCCCACTACACCTAAACTTTCAGTAATATTGGCAATATTGCTGCAAGTTTAGTTGTTTTAGTGTTGCAAAAAATTTTGTATGACACTCGTGCGTAAATCAGATTATACTTGTGTGACTTGCAGCACTCGCCTTCGGCTCGAGCTGCAAACGTCACACTCGTATAATCAACGATTTTACGTACTTGTATCATAAATAACTATTTTTTGTAAACAGGTGTTACATAAAACACCGGGTACACCTAAATTCGCACCTGGGCTATGGGGTCGGCCATAAACCACGTAGCCCGATTATATGGAATTCTCTTATCAAAGTTAATATCTTGACCCCCCTCCTCTTTCAAGTGCCACATACTTTATGAACGGAAGTGTATTTACAAAATATGAAAAACATATTAAAAATGGCAAAATTTTCATGCAATTTTAAAATATAAACGTAAAAAATATACCACTTATTTCTCTTAAATACAAAAAAACATTCTTTCTTTCAGCTGTCAGGTGAACTGAAAATAGCGTGCAATGAGAAATTGAAAGGTAAAGTGAAATATTTTTGGAAAAATGATAATTGTTTTTATGAAGGAGTAAAAAATCTTTTTGAAAAAAAAAAAGAATTGAAAGAGAAATTTACATATAATTGGCAAGAAGTATATGAATTAGAAAAGTGTAAAATAAAAACAAGTAAATTGGTAGTAGAAAGAGAAAAGAGCAATGTGTCTTTAGCAGATTATTTAGAGAATGCCTTAAGTTTAAGAAATGATGAAATTAAAAAAAGCAAAGAAAAGTTAAAAGATTTAGAAAAAAGTGATCTAACTTTGAAATCTAAAGAGAAAGATGAAGAAATAATATCTTTAGGTAATTTAGAAAAATATAAGTCTTTAGGAAAAAGGTATTGTATAAGTGCGTATGATATTATTAAAAACACTAAAGATTGTGCAATTGAAATGAAAAAATTAAAGCTTAAAGAAGTTGAAGGTGATGGTAATTGTTTATTTCGCAGTCTTAGTTATGCATTATACAATAATGAGGACAAACATAAAGATTTAAGAAATCAAGTGGTTCAATTTACATTAGATAATTGGGCTCAATTTAAAGAGCAACTTAATGTTCTTCATTCTCAATTTAATAGATTGTTTGAAACAAAAAAGGATTATAAAGATTACATGGGAGGAAATGGAAAGTATGGAACAGACTTTGAAATAGCAATATTTTCCATATTATATGAAACAAACGTCGTAATTTTTGTAGAAAGAGATAGTAAGTTTAAGGTTAAAGGCGTTTGCAGCCCACCAAATGATCCAGAATCGTTTATTATGATAGCATTTGAAGAACCTGAAGAGGAAGGACATTTTAATGCATTACATTTCCAATCAAATCTTCAGATGAAGGAAATAAAAGTAAAAGGAAAGGAAATTTTAGAAGAAGAAGAAGAAGTAAAAAGCAATAAAAATTTGCACCATGATGAAGAAAATGAAATATCAAATCCATTATTCAATAGCGTAAGTAAAGAAATTGTACTAGAAAAAGATTTAGAAGTGAAAGAAAAGAAACATTTAGAAGAAGAAGAGGAAATAAAAGGGGATCAAAATTTGCATGGTCATGAAGAGAATAAAATATCAAATACATTATGCAATAACGTAATTGAAGAAATTGCATTGAAAAAAGACTCCACCATTTTCAATTTTAATGAAGAAGAAGAGGAAATAAAAGGTAATCAAAATTTGCATGATCATGAAGAGAATGACATATCAAATCCATTAGTCAATAACGTAATTGAAGAAACTACATTGGAAAACAACTCCACCTTTTTCAATTTTAATGAAGAAGAACAGTCTGATGAGATAAAAAATTGGAAAAAATTTAAGACAGAGAAAAATAAGAAAAATATTAAAAATACATTACCCACCAGAATTGCAGGAGAAAAAAAAAGAAGATGGAGTTTTAAGTCAAATGTTGATGAAAATTCGAGTGAGTCTTCTAATACAGAGAAATGTGATACAGAAGTATCTAAAAATGGTAAGTTTCATGAAAATGAATCAAATCAAGATGATTCTGATGAAGATAAATCTGATACAGAAACAGAAACCTTACTATTGCATAAATATGAATCTGATTTAAATAAAAAAACAGATCTACGAAATATTTTTAAGAAAGCAAAACGTTTACAGAGTGAAAATGATTCTTGCAGTGAAAAAGAAGACTGTAATTTTGTTTTGGGTGATACAATGAGTATAACAGATGAAGAAAAAGAGGAAAAAGGTAATGCAGATGCTGATACTGATGTTGATGCTGATGATGACGACGATTATGATGCTGATACTGATGCTGACGATGATGATGATGATGATGACGATGACCATAATGATGATAACAAAGAAAATGTAACAGTATCTAAAGAAGATTGTGACAATGACAAAAAGAAAGAAAAAACAGATAAAAAAGAAAAAAATAAAACTGTTAGAAACGTATTTGAAAATGATATACTTGAATATCCAATACGTACAAAATATTTAAAAAATAATGGAAAACTTCATAAACCATACATACGATCAATAATAAATTTAATATTCTTAGATGTACTTAAATGTCCATGTATCTTACGTTTTTATTCAATGAGGTATAATCAAAAGGTTGCAAATTCGTATGTTGTTTATGCTGAATGCAATGATAACAGAAAACATAAACAAAAATTCAAGTGTGAAATAGGAAGTTTAGATGAAGTTTTGGCGCAATTAAGAGTAACAAGTGATGACAAACTACAGAATAGACATAAAGAAGGCACTGCCAGATATCGACAAATCCGGGGTAGAGAACGCGATAAATTGAAAAAAATATTAAAATACCGAAAACCAAAGGATCTCTTCTCTGAAAGGATTAAAAACGTTAATATGGAATTGTGGCATGATGGACAGCCACAAAATTTAACAAGATTAACAACATTTCAAAAAATAAAATCCGATATAAAAGTAGGAAAACGACTAACACTAAAAAGCTTTGACTTGCAAGACATATCGCAGCTTGAAATCGAGGAAGAAAAATCATGTGACCCATATGTTCAACACGTAGCTTTACCATTTACAGTTATTTTGTCTACAAAAGAACAACAGAGAGTTATAAAGGAAGAACCTGAACCAAGAATTGGTCACACTGATTCAACAGGTTCAATAGTAAGAAAACCGGATGGATTAAAGTGTTCAAAAATAATGTATTATGCCATAGTTTGTAAATTATTTGGCCCTATTATACCCGCTACTGAAATGTTTACTTCAAAAGTTGACGTATATACATTAAGTATATTTTATAAACATTATAAAGATTTTATAATAAAAAATAAATTTGGGTGGCCATTTTTTAAAGCTTTAGTTCTTGATTGGAGCTGGGCATCAATGATTGCAGTTTTACACGAATGGAATGTCATGACAGTACCTACTTATTTAAACGCAATATTCGATTACATTGTGCTTGGTAGACCATTTCCAGTAAATATAACAATATTATTAACGTGTATGGCACATGTACTACATCGAATAGCAAAAATAATTAAAAAATATTTTAAACAATATATGAAAATAAAAAGTTTCTTATTAGATTGCGTTTGCCTCATCTTTTTAGCTAGAAATATTTTTGAAGTAGATGTTCTATTCGAAGACTTTTTAAAAATAATATTATCGAAAAATGGTAAAAAAGCAGAACAATATTTGTTAGTTTTAACAGGTAAGCAAAAAGAGCAAACAGCAGACATAGTACTAGTACATGATGAAGTTATAGAAATTGAAAAAATCAATGAAGAACTCCAAATTAAAGATGATTTTAAAATAAGATATAAAGGCAATGTCTCGTATTACGTTGAAAGTAAATTTTACAAAAGATATTATGCAAAATATCTACGTATTGAAAGAAAATTAGAAGAAGAAGAGGCAATGATAGACATAGATGATGTTACAAATGATTATTACGCGCCTGAATTCGCAGAATACCTAGTTTTAGAGTTTATGCCTTATATAGGAATCGTAGGTTCTACAATGTTAGATTTAGTTGGTGGAAATATATCACGAGTAACAAATTCATATGTAGAATCTTATAATAAAGTTTTAAAAATAGATGTTTTACATAGGCAAAAGCAAGACTCTATAGGTAGTGTAGTTAGAGAAATGAAGGAAAATGTAAAATATATAGTATCTAAAGCAGATTTAGGACCTCAAGCTTTTATAAAAGAAAAGAAAGGTGAAAAAATAAATCCAAAATATCCACAAGTAGGTACAGAACACTTACTTCAAGATATTTGGAAACGAGGTACACATGAAGGAAAAAGAAAGTTTACGCACTTCAATGGTTTAACAGTAGAACGTGCGATACAAAAAATAGAGTCATTAAATAATAGTAAATTACAAGAACAAAGTAAACCAAAAAAAGAAATTGCAATGAAAAATAAAACAAGCGAAGTAACAAAAAAAATGGGAACAAAACGCCCTATAAAACATTTAAAAACGGATATTCCGCGAAAAAAATTAAAACATAATGAAAATATACAAGAAATGGAATATGATAATGTAAGTCAGGTAATGACGTCATCTGAACAGCAAAATGATATTGAAAATGCAGGTTTATTAAAAACTACATCCATACAAAAAATAGAAAACGATAGTTTTGATATAGTATATTCAACATCAATTCAAAATAAAGGACTTGAAAATTGTAATATAGTTACTTTAACATCAGTAGATGATATTTATTTCGAGAATGGATTAAGAAGAGATGTCAATTACTATTATAAGTCAAATTCAAGGTTCATTACCATAGGAAAATATAAAGTACCCGATAAAGTTATAACAACAAGTAAAGAAATAGATATAACTTGTAGAGAATTTGAAACAATTGTTAATTGCATGGGTTGGGTAGATGGACAAATAATAGATGCCTATGCAATATGTAAAATGCGGGAGTGGAATAAAAATGTAACATTTTTACCCACTGATGAAAGTAAAACAGCAATTGGAGATTATACAATAGAAAGAAGAACACTTCAAAACTCATTGTATAATATAGTTAAACCTCTAACTGATATAATACTCTGTCCTTATACATTCGATTTTCACTGGAGACTGTTAATCATAAACTTAAAAGAAAAATCTTTAATATTGCTGGATCCATATAAAAATGGTAATGATCTTGAAAGAGTGTGTAATGAATTAATTGAATTTATAGCAAAAAGCAAAATTAATTCATCTTTTAAATGTTTAAAGAATGTTGAAACGTGGAATAAATATTATTATAATGAAGAAAGACCTTTTCAAAATGTAAGTGATGGTCATAATTGTGGAGTATATGTTTCATATTACATGGACTTAATTGCCACTGGAACAAAAATGGATACAAACTTTGATCCATTATTATACAGAAATAACGTTTCAAATTGCTTATTAGAAAAAGCTGAATCAAATTCAGGAAAATGTTTATATTGTTTAAGAAAATTAATGCAAAAAATGGTAATAAATTGTATAGTTTGTTTAAAATCCTTTCACGTTGCATGTGTCAAAAGAGAAGATAGTAACGAGAATGTAAAGAAAAAAGATGAAAGCAAAACATACATTTGCAAATTATGTCGATTAAATAGTAAAAGTTAACAAAATACTACATAATTCAACTAACATAATAAAAAATAGTATAAGAAAATACAAAAATAAATTTACTTGTTTTATACCTTTTAAATTAAAAATTCAATAAAATTATTCAATAAACGTTAAATAAATTCAAAAGGCAAAACTAATGTAAGAAATAATAAGTATTAAAAAATTATAATTAGAGGGTGGACGAGGGAGGAAATTGCAATGTGGAAAAAAACAATCGTAAAATGATCTGAAAAAAGTACAAAAAAAAATTATTACTTAATATTTTTGTAAAAAATAAGAAAAACATATTGAGGGTGGATGAGGGAGGTTATTTAAAAAGAATAAAATATTATTGAAAAGTGAAATTATACAAAAATCAATCAGGTTATTAGAGGGTGGAAGAGGGAGGACTATTTCATAACAAGAAAAAGATTGAAATATTAACAAATTATTACAATAAAACAATTTAGCATTCAATGTTTGAATAAATATTAACCCTTACAGGAGAGCAAGTTTTCTAAGAAGGTTAAAAATTTGGATTTTTAAGCACTACTTTTAATTTTGAAATTTATATTTTATTTCTTGATAATTTTTAAAGCTAGTTAAATTGTAATTGTCTTCTGAAAACATGTATTCCTTAAAGGGTTAGCAGCATATGCATATGACAATAATAAACGTAAATATATATCTTAATGTTGAAAATATATATGATCTTGGGAAGGTAAGATTTGAATAAAAATTCAAAAGTGTGTCGTTAAAGCGACGTTTCGTTGGCTAGGGTTTGCTAACCTCATCAGGCTAGGTTTGGTTAGAACAACTTACCTTTCCAAGATCATATATATTTTCAACATTAACAAACTATGGAAGGATATATCTCTTACAACTTAGTAAATATATATCTTGTTTAATAACATAATATTTGTTTTTTACCAATTAGAAAAATAAATAAAAGTGTAAATTAACATAACATGTGTCACGCTCTGAGGAAAGGTGCCTAAGAAGCAAAAAATTTGAGGTTATATGTTTTTAATTTTGTAAGTAAAAATACAGAAAGAGAATCAATTATCAATTAAAAATTGTTGGTCTTCAAGTCTTCATTATATTCAAAATATTGAATGAAAATTGGTTTAAAATTCAAATAAATAAAAATGAACTATTAATCAAGATAAATCTAACAAGAAGGCAACCTATAATTTGTTTGCTTTTTAGGTACCTTTCTTGGGAGCGCGTCACATATTATAAAAACATATATTTTTACTAATTTTATTCAGATATTTTCAATTGAGGTATTAATCTGCAAATCAAAATTATGCATAATATTGCAAATTATTACAATTAATAATAATGTTCACTTTATTCAAAGCAATGGTATCGATATTCATTTTTAATTTTGCAGTACGTCATTTGAAAATCTCTTAATGTCTCTATAAATGTATAAACACTTTACCAATTGTAAGAAACTTACAATAATGTATAAACATTGTTGTAAAAGTGCCTATACAATAAAATAATATGCATTAAAAACTTATTCAAAACATTATGCACAGAAAATTCAAAACGAACATCTTACTTCAAACAAAGTTAAAAGTCTTATTTAGTTGTGCAACAATTAAGTCAAATTTTAATAATATTGAAAATATAGAAATTATTTAAAACTAATAAAAATTTTAATTGATTATCAGCACATTTAATATATTCAATTAAATACATCTGTCTCCAAAATTAGTGATATATGTTGAGAAAATAAATATTCTTTTTTATTTTTTGCTTTGTTCTATAAATAAATAGTACAAAACTATAAAATTCATTTCATTTAAGTGAATTTTTCTCATATAATTTTTCTCATTCTACTTTCAGTACAATTCATTGATCGAAAAATACTCAATATGTATCACTATTTTGAGTGTAGTAGCATTTACTATATTTAAAAAGAGTTTCTTAAATTGGATCTAAATTTAAGATGTTTCATAAATTTTGATTCAAAAATATTTTGGTGAAAATTAATAGTAATACATGTTTCTTTTATTTACGATTAGTTAATCTTCAATTTAAACAATTGCAAATGGAAATTACATTTTTATCTTTGCTTTAAACGTTAATTGAAAATATTATAACCTACATTGACACAAATGTTCCAATACTGATAAAGGAAATATGTAATATTAATAATAACTTCAATGACCAAATGTATATGTACATACTGTTTAAAAAGCATGAATCCGAGAAAGAAAATAATAAAGTATTATTTTTAAAAAAGTACTCAGTAGTGAATAGTATAAATTAAAAATGGACAAAAACAAAGATTCACTTTCATAAAAATAACATTTTAAATTGCAAGAATACTTCGCATTACTAAATATGCTTAATATATTGGCCTATTTTTAACCGCTTCATATTTTTTAAACAATTTAAATACTTGGACAATTTATTGATAAAACATATAATATAACTATCAAAATAATAAAAACAAACGCTAAAAAATTAAAAGTAAACGATACATTTAAAAACGCGAAATAATGAGAACAGATAATATCATTAAAAGGATGAAGCTAAAGTTTAAAACATTTTTAAAAACGAAAATGAAATAAGTGGGATAATTTATTTTATTTTGGCTTCAAATTAATGTTATTATTAAACAATTGTATTTTAAGAAACAATTAATTTTTGAAAAATTTACCTTTCATCGAAATTGGAGATGAGTTTTTAGTATCAAAAAGAATTCTTTTTTGATTTTTCGTTTTTAAAAACGTTGCAGATTTTAGCTTCACTTAGAAGGGAGAATTACCATAGTATGTCAATTCAATGTCTAAGAAACATATCATATATCTCTGCAAATGTACAGAAAAAAGAAACAGCTACATGTAATTAATTGAACATAAAGAAACAAAAACAAATAAGACTTTTAACAATAACATAAGATGAAAATATAAAAGAAAATATAATTGAATTACTTGAAAAGAGAAACAAAGAATACCAAAAGGCATTAAAATATAAACAATAACTGCTCAATAAAAAAACTAAAAAGTATTAAAAAACAAAAGCCAAAAAAGAAAAAGAAAAAACTCCTTCTATAAAAACATATAATAAAAACTTACCTTTCCAGCATGATAAGTTAGCATCACAGAAATAATGTAACCAAACAGTGTAAACATATAATTATACAAACAACGCAAACAATACATTGTTTATAATTAAAAATAAATTATTAACTATTACGTCAAGACCTCTTTACAATTATTCTGTGATTTTAACTGAACAGATCCTGAAAGTTTCGCTTCAAAAAATTCGTTTTATGAGTATAAACGAAGATTTCATTTTTGTTGAAGTAAGAAAGTCCAAAATGTTGGACCTCTGAAAGTCGACAGAACTTTGCAGTCGTCGTCTGCAAAGATCTAAACACTTAATTACTTTTTTTTACATATATACATTCTTCACGATTCATATGGACCATAAAAAGAAGTCAGTATCAAGTTACACGTTAAATAGTAATAACAAAATTGTTTTACAAAAAAATTATGGTTACTTAAATAGCAAGTTGAAAGCACTTACTTCGTAAAGATTCTTAATAATTTCAATAAAAAAAATTGCAGACAACAAAACGATCATTTTATTTTTTCTGGGGTAAAAAACCAAAATGACGAACTTCCAAAATACAAAAATTTGTATTTCAATGCCTTCCCAGACCTGCAGAGATACAATCTGAACATATTCTAAAATTTCCAGTAAAATTTGTCAAACTTCAAACATTACTTTCAGTAATTTAACCTAAATATAAACTGAAAGTTTTAGATAAAAAATTAGTGGCGGTGTTTAAACGATAATAAAATATTTCTCGGGGTAATCAGGTCCAAGATGGCGGACTCGCGGAAGTCGAAATGTGTTCCAAATTGTTAAATGACCTGATATAAACACACCCTGCAAGTTTCGCCGAAAAAAATATTGGCGGCGGGTGTTTAAAAGATGATTAAATATTTCTCGGGGTAAGCAGGTCCAAGATGGCGGACTCGCGGAAGTCGAAATGTGTTCCAAATTGTTTAATGACCTGATTTAAACACACCCTGAAAGTTTCGCCGAAAAAAAAATTGGTGGCGGGTGTTTAAACGATGATTAAATATTTCTCGGGGTAATCAGGTCTAAGATGGCGGACTCGCGGAAGTCAAAATGTGTTCCAAATTGTTTAATGACCTAATATAAACACACCCTGCAAGTTTCGCCGAAAAAAAAATTGGTGGCGGGTGTTTAAAAGATGATTAAATATTTCTCGGGGTAATCAGGTTCAAGATGGCGGACTCGCGGAAGTCGAAATGTGTTCCAAATTGTTTAATGACCTAATATAAACACACCCTGCAAGTTTCGCCGAAAAAAAAATTGGTGGCGGGTGTTTAAAAGATGATTAAATATTTCTCGGGGTAATCAGGTCCAAGATGGCGGACTCGCGGAAGTCGAAATGTGTTCTAAATTGTTAAATGACCTAATCTAAACACACCCCGAAAGTATCGCTGAAAAAAAAATTGGTGGCGGGTGTTTAAACGATGATTAAATATTTCTTGGGGTAATCAGGTTCAAGATGGCGGACTCGCGGAAGTCGAAATGTGTTCTAAATTGTTTAATGACCTAATCTAAACACACCCCGAAAGTTTCGCTGAAAAAAAAATTGGTGGCGGGTGTTTAAAAGATGATTAAATATTTCTCGGGGTAATCAGGTCCAAGATGGCGGACTCGCGGAAGTCGAAATGTGTTCCAAATTGTTTAATGACCTGATTTAAACACACCCTGCAAGTTTCGCCGAAAAAAATATTGGTGGCGGGTGTTTAAAAGATGATTAAATATTTCTCGGGGTAAGCAGGTCCAAGATGGCGGACTCGCGGAAGTCGAAATGTGTTCCAAATTGTTTAATGACCTGATTTAAACACACCCTGAAAGTTTCGCCGAAAAAAAAATTGGTGGCGGGTGTTTAAACGATGATTAAATATTTCTCGGGGTAATCAGGTTCAAGATGGCGGACTCGCGGAAGTCGAAATGTGTTCCAAATTGTTTAATGACCTAATATAAACACACCCTGCAAGTAACGCCGAAAAAAAATTGGTGGCGGGTGTTTAAAAGATGATTAAATATTTCTCGGGGTAATCAGGTCCAAGATGGCGGACTCGCGGAAGTCGAAATGTGTTCTAAATTGTTAAATGACCTAATCTAAACACACCCCGAAAGTATCGCTGAAAAAAAAATTGGTGTCGGGTGTTTAAAAGATGATTAAATATTTCTCGTGGTAATGAGGTCCAAGATGGCGGACTCGCGGAAGTCGAAATGTGTTCTAAATTGTTAAATGACCTAATCTAAACACACCCCGAAAGTTTCGCTGAAAAAAAATTGGTGGCGGGTGTTTAAACGATGATTAAATATTTCTAGGGGTAATCAGGTCCAAGATGGCGGACTCGCGGAAGTCGAAATGTGTTCTAAATTGTTTAATGACCTAATCTAAACACACCCCGAAAGTTTCGCTGAAAAAAAAATTGGTGGCGGGTGTTTAAAAGATGATTAAATATTTCTCGGGGTAATCAGGTCCAAGATGGCGGACTCGCGGAAGTGGAAAGGTGTTCCAAATTGTTTAATGACCTGATTTAAACACACCCTGCAAGTTTCGCCGAAAAAAATATTGGTGGCGGGTGTTTAAAAGATGATTAAATATTTCTCGGGGTAAGCAGGTCCAAGATGGCGGACTCGCGGAAGTCGAAATGTGTTCCAAATTGTTTAATGACCTGATTTAAACACACCCTGAAAGTTTCGCCGAAAAAAAAATTGGTGGCGGGTGTTTAAACGATGATTAAATATTTCTCGGGGTAATCAGGTTCAAGATGGCGGACTCGCGGAAGTCGAAATGTGTTCCAAATTGTTAAATGACCTGATATAAACACACCCTGCAAGTATCGCCGAAAAAAATATTGGCGGCGGGTGTTTAAAAGATGATTAAATATTTCTCGGGGTAATCAGGTCTAAGATGGCGGACTCGCGGAAGTCAAAATGTGTTCCAAATTGTTTAATGACCTAATATAAACACACCCTGCAAGTTTCGCCGAAAAAAAAATTGGTGGCGGGTGTTTAAAAGATGATTAAATATTTCTCGGGGTAATCAGGTCCAAGATGGCGGACTCGCGGAAGTCGAAATGTGTTCTAAATTGTTAAATGACCTAATCTAAACACACCCCAAAAGTATCGCTGAAAAAAAAATTGGTGTCGGGTGTTTAAACGATGATTAAATATTTCTCGGGGTAATCAGGTTCAAGATGGCGGACACGCGGAAGTCGAAATGTGTTCTAAATTGTTTAATGACCTAATCTAAACACACCCCGAAAGTTTCGCTGAAAAAAAAATTGGTGGCGGGTGTTTAAAAGATGATTAAATATTTCTCGTGGTAATGAGGTCCAAGATGGCGGACTCGCGGAAGTCGAAATGTGTTCCAAATTGTTTAATGACCTAATATAAACACACCCTGCAAGTTTCGCCGAAAAAAAAATTGGTGGCGGGTGTTTAAAAGATGATTAAATATTTCTCGGGGTAATCAGGTCCAAGATGGCGGACTCGCGGAAGTCGAAATGTGTTCTAAATTGTTAAATGACCTAATCTAAACACACCCCGAAAGTATCGCTGAAAAAAAAATTGGTGTCGGGTGTTTAAACGATGATTAAATATTTCTCGGGGTAATCAGGTTCAAGATGGCGGACACGCGGAAGTCGAAATGTGTTCTAAATTGTTTAATGACCTAATCTAAACACACCCCGAAAGTATCGCCGAAAAAAAATTGGTGGCGGGTGTTTAATCGATGATTAAATATTTCTCGGGGTAATCAGGTTCAAGATGGCGGACTCGCGGAAGTCGAAATGTGTTCCAAATTGTTTAATGACCTAATATAAACACACCCTGCAAGTTTCGCCGAAAAAAAAATTGGTGGCGGGTGTTTAAAAGATGATTAAATATTTCTCGGGGTAATCAGGTCCAAGATGGCGGACTCGCGGAAGTCGAAATGTGTTCTAAATTGTTTAATGACCTAATCTAAACACACCCCGAAAGTATCGCCGAAAAAAAATTGGTGGCGGGTGTTTAAACGATGATTAAATATTTCTCGGGGTAATCAGGTTCAAGATGGCGGACTCGCGGAAGTCGAAATGTGTTCCAAATTGTTAAATGACCTAATCTAAACACACCCCGAAAGTTTCGCTGAAAAAAAAATTGGTGGCGGGTGTTTAAAAGATGATTAAATATTTCTCGGGGTAATCAGGTCCAAGATGGCGGACTCGCGGAAGTCGAAATGTGTTCCAAATTGTTAAATGACCTAATCTAAACACACCCCGAAAGTTTCGCTGAAAAAAAAATTGGTGGCGGGTGTTTAAAAGATGATTAAATATTTCTCGTGGTAATGAGGTCCAAGATGGCGGACTCGCGGAAGTCGAAATGTGTTCTTAATTGTTTAATGACCTAATCTAAACACACCCCGAAAGTTTCGCTGAAAAAAAAATTGGTGGCGGGTGTTTAAAAGATGATTAAATATTTCTCGGGGTAATCAGGTCCAAGATGGCGGACTCGCGGAAGTCGAAATGTGTTCCAAATTGTTAAATGACCTAATCTAAACACACCCCGAAAGTTTCGCTGAAAAAAAAATTGGTGGCGGGTGTTTAAAAGATGATTAAATATTTCTCGGGGTAATCAGGTCCAAGATGGCGGACTCGCGGAAGTCGAAATGTGTTCCAAATTGTTTAATGACCTAATCTAAACACACCCCGAAAGTTTCGCTGAAAAAAAAATTGGTGGCGGGTGTTTAAAAGATGATTAAATATTTCTCGTGGTAATGAGGTCCAAGATGGCGGACTCGCGGAAGTCGAAATGTGTTCTTAATTGTTTAATGACCTAATCTAAACACACCCCGAAAGTTTCGCTGAAAAAAAAAATTGGTGGCGGGTGTTTAAAAGATGATTAAATATTTCTCGGGGTAATCAGGTCCAAGATGGCGGACTCGCGTAAGTCGAAATGTGTTCCAAATTGTTTAATGACCTGATTTAAACACACCCTGAAAGTTTCGCCGAAAAAAAAATTGGTGGCGGATGTTTAAACGATGATTAAATATTTCTCGGGGTAATCAGGTTCAAGATGGCGGACTCGCGGAAGTCGAAATGTGTTCTAAATTGTTTAATGACCTGATTTAAACACACCCTGAAAGTTTTGCCGAAAAAAAAATTGGTGGCGGGTGTTTAAACGATGATTAAATATTTCTCGGGGTAATCAGGTCCAAGATGGCGGACTTCCGGAAGTCGAAATTTGTTGGAAATTGTTCAGTGAACCATTCTTAACAATCCCTCAAAGTTTCGCTGAAAAAAAAATTGGTGGCGGGTGTTTAAACGGAGATTTAGTATTTTTTGAGGTTATTAATTCTAAGATGGCGGACTTCCGGAAGTCGAAATTTGTTGGAAATTGTTCAGTGAACCATTCTTAACAATCCCTTAAAGTTTCGCTGAAAAAAAAATTGGTGGCGGGTGTTTAAACGGAGATTTAGTATTTTTTGAGGTTATTAATTCTAAGATGGCGGACTTCCGGAAGTCGAAATTTGTTGGAAATTGTTCAGTGAACCATTCTTAACAATCCCTCAAAGTTTCGCTGAAAAAAAGATTGGTGGCAGGTGTTTAAACGAAGATTTAGTATTTTTTGAGGTTATTAATTCTAAGATGGCGGACTTCCGGAAGTCGAAATTTGTTGGAAATTGTTCAGTGAACCATTCTTAACAATCCCTCAAAGTTTCGCTGAAAAAAAAATTGGTGGCGGGTATTTAAACGATGATTTAACATTTCTCGGGGTAATCAGGTCCAAGATGGCGGACTTCCGGAAGTTGAAATTTGTTAATAATGTGTCACCTGACTTCCCTGACACATTTCCTGAACGTTTGTATAAAAAAAAAATTGGTCTGATGGAGTTTAAAATTTTCGTTTTTTAAACGTTTAAAACTTCATGGACCTGAAGTTTCGCATTTATTTGTTTTATGTTGTTTATCACAAAGAAACCAAAAATATAATATGATGTGAAAAAATGAAAGAAAATCGAAGAAGAGAAGATAAAAAGCGAGAAAAAAGAAACGTGGAAAGAAAAATTTATCAACGGAAGGCACTTAAGTAATATTTATTTATTTTCTATTAGACATTCATGAAACTGTTTGTGGTTTTTCAATATTTCTTCAAAACAGTCCAGCCAATCAAATTAATGTAAACTTTCATGTTATTAATTCAAATAATGATTATACGTTAAAAATTTTTTCAAGAATTTTCTGTGCTGTCGATAAATCGACTGTACTCAGTTAAGGTTATGTAGAGGTAAACCTACAAGTACCATTTTCATAACAAAATTTTTTCTTGTCAGAATTTAGTGCTAATGTAGTACCGCATTTAAAAATTTAGAGCTGTTAAACTTTTTAAAAAGCGTATGATACTGCGAGCTTGACGTCAAGGTACAAGTACCATAGCCTAAAAAGTAATAATTTTTAAAAATGTTTTTCACAAAAATTTAGAGCTAATTTAATGTTGTAACATAGATTATTTATCTAAAAGAGGTTTCCAGACCTATTCATGAGTTAAAGGCCGTAGCAGTATAAGCATGTAAAAAGTGCCCCCTCTTGGATTGGGTCTATATTTAGGGAATAATTTTGACCTATTATGAGACTTATTTTCACCAAGTTTCAACTCGAAAAAAAATTTTGTTTTTGAGTTATACAATTTTTTTGAAAAATTCAAAAAAATTCAAAAATTTTTTTTCCCTCCAAAATGGTTGAACCGATTTTCATGAAAAAATTTTTTTTGTACAATACAATATGAACAGTTAATAAAAAAAAATTTTCGACCAAATTCTAACAAAGAAAGTCAGTAAAAAGTCAGTAAAAAAAAATTTTTTTTTTATTTTTTTTTAAAAAACATTTTTTTTTTATTGAAATTTTTTTTGCACCACCGCCATTTTTTTTCTATAAAGTAATAGTCCTTTCAAGAGTAACATATATTTTTTGCAAGATGATTGAAAGGGTACTTCATACTATAAAAAATAAAAAACCGATTTTTGGCCCCTAAATAGTACAGTTTTCTATATAAACGAGGGGCCAACATTTTTTAAAAATAACATTAAAAATTAATTAATACTTAAATTAAATTTCTAAAAAAGTTAATAATATATGCCTGCTTATTGTAAATATTGATTTTTTAATCAACTTTTCAAAATAATTTACAAAAAAAAAAAATTTTTTGAAGTTTTTTCAACTTTGGCATATTTTTTAATAATTGTAGAAAAAATTTGAAATTTACATAGGTTTAAGTTTTATCTTTAACTTAAGACCAAAAGAGTTTTAAAATCTTAATCGGTTTGTGAGATCCCGCAATATATATAGAAAATATCTACTGCTTTTATTCAAAAATAATATTTGTTTGAATAATTGTGTTTAATTCAAATATATTTTCTGTTTTGGTTTAAACAAAGAATATGTTTAAAAATGTTATGTTTGATCCAAACTTAAATGTTGATTAGAAATAATTTAAAATCAACCTTAAATTTTGTTTGAATTGAATATATTATTTCTATAAATGAACCAAAAAATATGTTTGAATTAAACTGAAATTTGTTTGACTGTATAGCAAAGATATTTTAAGTTTGATTTAAACAAAATTTTTTTGAATCAAATAAATCGTTTTTTCAGTGATTGACATGTTTTTGGGCCGTGCGCGTGCAGCCGTACCGGTAATTCCCGACGGTAGTGTACGTCCATTTACTTTTTTAATTAACCTTGTACATACTAAAAAATCAATATTTACAATAAACAGGCATATATTATTAACTTTTTTAGAAATTTAATTTAAGTATTAATTAATTTTTAATGTAATTTTAAAAAATGTTGGCTTCTCGTTTATATAGAAAACTGTACTATTTAGGGGCCAAAAATCGGTTTTTTATTTTTTATAGTATGAAGTACCCTTTCAATCATCTTGCAAAAAATATATGTTACTCTTGAAAGGACTATTACTTTATAGAAAAAAAATGGCGGTGGTGCAAAAAAAATTTCAATAAAAAAAAATGTTTTTTAAAAAAAAATAAAAAAAAAATTTTTTTTTACTGACTTTTTACTGACTTTCTTTGTTAGAATTTGGTCGAAAATTTTTTTTTATTAACTGTTCATATTGTATTGTACAAAAAAAATTTTTTCATGAAAATCGGTTCAACCATTTTGGAGGGAAAAAAAATTTTTGAATTTTTTTGAATTTTTCAAAAAAATTGTATAACTCAAAAACAAAATTTTTTTTCGAGTTGAAACTTGGTGAAAATAAGTCTCATAATAGGTCAAAATTATTCTCTAAATATGGACCCAATCCAAGAGGGGGCACTTTTTACATGCTCATACTGCTACGGCCTTTTTTGAACTTCTTCACACTTCTCGGAAAGCAATCGTGATAATTTAAATTTTTGAGAAATTCATCAGCTCTTTACCAATTGATCAGCAAATATATCATTTCTTAAAAAATTCTTTTTTGTAATATTCTTCTATTACAGATATTTGTCCTTGATCCATGGGTTGGATCAAGGCAGATACTTTGGAAGGTAAGTACATAATTCCTACATTTTCATTTACCGCGTTCAGTCCATTAACAACGATCAATATAATTTTTCCTGAAATTGACAACTTTGAAATAATTTAGTCACCATTGGTGGATTCCATGTCAGTTCAACACACTAATTTTCATGACTTGTTGGGATTTGGCTGTACTTTTGTAAATTTATTACTTTTATGGGTGATTCTCCCGAAATACTCCTTTTTGTGAGTTACAAACAGAAAAGAAAAAAAATTATTATTTATGGATTAATGCAGTCAATTATATTGAGCTTTCAAAAATCTACCACCTCTATAGCATGATCATGCTAACTTTTAGCTTTTAAAGTATCCCAGGCGCGAAGTGACGCCGAGTTCAGGCTTTATAAAGATTGGCCGAGCATTGGTCAACATTGATTGAGCATGAGTGAATCAGCGAGAGCAGGAATGATCAAAGCTTTAATGTAACACCGATTCCAGACTGCAGCGCGAGCCTTGATTCAGCATTGGACATCAATGCTCAATCAATGCTGCGGACGCCTAACGCAGGACTGAAACAAGACTGCTTCCACTGTTCCCAAATTTACTCGTTTCTCACGTTTATTCAATATAATGTGAATATATGAATTATTAATAATAATAATAAATATTATTGTTATTATTTTAATCCATCTATGTGTGTATAATATATACATCTAATGACAATAAGTTATTATTTGTAATAATTATATTATCTTCATATAAATAAGAATATATTACTAACAATAAATATCATTTGAATAGTAATTTTAAAAAAATAATTTTAGTAAAAAAAGACAATTTTTCTGTTAATCGTTACATTTTTTTCTTGATTTTTAACATACTTTTAACATTATTTATAAACATGTTCACATTTTTTATTCACGACACAACACACAATTTTATTTTTTTATATAAACGCTTATAACAAAGAATGAAAAATATTCGCTCGCATGTGGGATCGAAACTCACGCACCCCGCCCCCCTAACGCATACCGAAAGTTCTCAACGCACGCATTTAAACCGCTCGGCCACAGAAGGCTGGAAGGCTTCTCGCCTAATCTACTATATCAATGCCAGTGCCGTCACTCAGTATGGGACACCAATGTTCGTCCCATGCTCGATTCAAGACTCGGTCAATCTTGTTACAATATTCAGTTCCTTTATTGCCGTGTGCACTGTACAATATTATCTATAAATATTTATAAATTATTTAATATTAAAATATTTTTTCTGATAATTTTATAAGTTAAATTATATATTATTTTTTTTCTCGCACAGTGTCAAATTATTATTTTCAAATTCAAGAGTTTCGTTTATCTGAAAAATTTTCAGTGAAAAAAATGTTCATTAGGTAGTAATAAATATTTATGCCTAGTAGTTTTACACTAGGTTTAACTGTTTACTGAATATTATCAAAAATATATTTTTCGTCAAACGCGCGCGACTAAACACAAATAACCTTGAGACTTTACAGCGTGACGTTGCGATTGTCGTGCTCCCACCATCCCATCTACTCAATGCACTCCCCGCCTGTGACGTCATGAGGGGAAAGCATTGAGTAGATGGGATGGTGGGAGCACGACAATCGCAACGTCTCAAGGTTATTTGTGTTTAGTCGCGCGCGTTTGACGAAAAATATATTTTTGATAATATTCAGTAAACAGTTAAACCTAGTGTAAAACTACTAGGCATAAATATTTATTACTACCTAATGAGCATTTTTTTCACTGAAAATTTTTCAGATAAACGAAACTCTTGAACTTTGAAATAATAATTTGACTCTGTGCAAGAAAAAAAATAATATATAATAATTTAACTTTATTGATATGAATCTTATGTAATTAATATAAATATTATACACTAAATAAATATTAATATTTATTTACTAATTGATATCTTAATAACAATAATAATAATACTTATTATATTATTTAATAATAATTAATAATAATAATTTTTAAATAGTATAAAAAATTACTAAAAATTATCAGAAATAATATTTTAATATTAAATAATTTATAAGTATTTATATCTAATATTGTTAAGTGCACACGGTAATAAATAAACTATCAAGATTGATTCAAGCTTGAATAAAGACTGGATGTTGAAGCTCCACTCACGAAGATTGACCGAGTGTTAAATCGAGCATGGGACGAACATTGGTGTCCCATGCTGAACCAATATTGAGTGACAATGATATAAAGACTGCTTCAACTCTGGGTTACCCACGCTGGGCGTTCAAGACTCAGTCAAGTTTCAACCCATCGTCAGCACTGGTCTTTCGCGCCTGGGATATATTTTAAATTAAAATTTACAAAAAAATTAAGAGGTTAAAATTTGGCGCCGGCGTTTTTTATTATATATATTTTTCTATTTACAAAAAATTATTTAAAAATTATAATTTATTAATATTATCTATAAATTTTATAGATTTTGAAATACTTACAGTTATCAAAAATCTCTTTAAACAATTGTCAAAAATTATTTTTCATACATTTTAGGTTCACTTTTCACTGGCAGTTTGTAAACAACCGACAATCATATCAATTTTTAATTTTTATTCAAAAAAGTGAGAGGAATGACGGGTGAGAGGAATGACGATTTCAACATTTTTTAATTTTATTTAATTGACAAATAATTTTCCTCCAGCTTAGAATGCCCTATCATGTTTATAAAGGATAACTTTATGTGAAAAAAATTTGCGATCAATTTATATATATTAATATTGTTTTTATTAGGGGTGAGAGGAATGACGCTTTAGGTTGTGAATCTCTGCTTATGTCTCAATTTTAATTTTTTTAACGCAAAATAATGACATTTTTTAAAAAGTAACTTAAGAAATTAATATTACAGATGTTAATTTAAATATTGATCACAATAATTAATCAATATCTCTACCCACAGCAAAAATATTGGATAATATTCAACGAGTGAGAGGAATGACGCGGTACTACATGACAAATTTCATTTTCTATATTTAAAAAAACTACACGACATATTTTATTTATATTTTTGAAAATTATTCTTAGATATCATAACTTTTAGAAAAAATTAATAAAGTACCAATTTTCATGTTTTAAATAATTGTTTTACCTATTGAAAAAATGAAAAGCACTTAGATGACAGGTTAGAAAATCGATTTTGAGGTGGTAAAATATTTTAAAAATGTATTAAACAATAAAATTTTACAACTTTTTCTTGCAGAACATTTAGAAAAAGTGATAAAATAGGGAAATATGACTTGGTATTTTCCCAAATGATTATAATTATTTAGAAAATTTTGATTACATGCAAAATGAGGTTTTTTGGAGAATCACCCTTATAGTGATAAACAACTCCACTAAATATTTTTTCAAAATTTTAAAAATTACCAAAAAAAGGCATTTTTAAAATTTTTGTCTTTTTTTTAAAGTGCTATAACTTTGATTCCAATTAACCGATTTTGGATTTTGAAAAAAGGATTTCTTTGGTTTTATGTAGGTATATTTTAAGTTAAAATTAATATAAAAAAAAATTCAAAAAATTTTTTTTTTTTTAAATTTTGAAAAATTAAAAATCCGTTTTTGAAAAAACATCATCTTTGATTTTCTTATGAGCCATGTAAAAATCAGAGTCGGACCATGAGAATTTTTGAGGAAAATAATAATTTATCATTATTTTACATAGAAAATGATGATTTATAATTAATTTCTTCAAAAAGTTCCATGGTTCTACTCTGATTTTTACATGGCTCATAGAAAAAAGGTCACCAGCTTATAGCCCGTGAAAACCCCTTTAAAAATCACTATTCCTACTTTAAATTTGATTAATTTTACTTATCAATCAGGGTGTCTAGCGAACCGGGAATCCGGGAAAAACCGGGAAAACCCCGGGAATTTTTTTTTCCCGGGAAAAACCGGGAAACCCCCGGGAATTTTCTTTTAAATCCGGGAATTTTTTTATGAAGTACTTTATTATGTTGTTGGAAAAAATAGTTACATTTTTTCAACGCTTAACTTAATTTTTTTTCAATTTCGAATTGTATATTGATTCTCTTCGTATATTAGACAATGTTTTATTATTGTCCAATTAAGACCTAACTTATATGGGAAATGATTTTCGATGTGACAATCCAGTGGGCAAAAAACCATCATTGTTTTAAAAACGTTCCAAAAATGTTTTTAGAACGTTTCATGTCTGCCAAATAATGTTCCAAAAACGTTCCATTGCTTTTAAAACGTTTTAGAAACATATAACGTTATTGGGACGTTATTTGGCAGACATGAAACGTTCTAAAAACATTTTTGGAACGTTTTTAAAACAATGATGGTTTTTTGCCCACTGGGAAGCTTGTGCCAAATTTTTACAGTGATGCGACACCTGTTTTTGATTTTAAACATGAAATTACCGTCAAGTAAATCACAATACAATTCTTATTATAAGTTTTACAAATATTACGATTAAATTTACTGTAAAATTTTAGTTTTCAATTATCCGGGAAAATTATTTACATACCGGGAAAAAACCGGGAAAACCCCGGGAATTTTATATTTCTAAATTACTAGACACCCTGTCAATATATTAAATCGAAAAAAAGATATTTTCAAAAAAATCAACATTTTGAAACTCTATAACTCAAAAAATATTTTATCAAATTAAAAAAAAATTATATTTACACTTCTACTAATAAAAGTAACATTTTAGCAAAGTTTAGAGAAAATTCATTTTTTTACCTGGGCAGTTCAGGAATTTTGCCCCATAAGTTCTTAACGCTTGCGCTACATTATAGCATTATCGCCGTACACGTGGTTATGTTTTATTTTTTTTACTCCGAATCCCTTTGAGATCCCAAGATAAAACTTACAGGACATGTAAAGTACATTTGCCCTAACATTTAGTAAAATTTTGAAAAAATCGAAGATAATGTTTTTTCAAAAACGGATTTTTAATTTTTCAAAATTTCAAAAAAAAAATTTTGAATTTTTTTTTTATATTAATTTTAACTTAAAATATACTTAAAACCAAAGAAATCCTCTTTTGAAAATCCAAAATCGGTTAATTAGAACCAAAGTTATAGCACTTTAAAAAAAAGACAAAAATTTTAAAAATGCCATATTTTTGGTAATTTTTAAAATTTTTAAAAAATATTTGGTGGAGTTGTTTATCACTATAAAAGTAATAAATTTACAAAAGTACAGCCAAATCCCAACAAGTCATGAAAATAAGTGTGTTGAACTGACGTGGAATCCATCCATTATAATTTTCTTTTCCTTGAGTGCATTTCATTTATAAGATAAACTAATTAATATATATTATTTAACAACGTCTAAAACACGTCAAGAATATCACAAGTATATATTCTGGAAACCCCGAAGAGAGGACGGCAAGAGTCTTGGGCCTCTACGGAATTCGCCCTTGACGCCACTTTGACATTGAAAACTGTTAACATTCAGAACTGGAAAAATATATTTTTGTCAAATTTTTAACCCAATAACCCTAATAACACAGGATCACGAAATTTTTTTTAAAGGAAAAATTGACCGGACCCTGTTTTTTGGGTCGATGAATTCAAATCCAAACTCAGTTTTCCGTCATCACGTCAAGTTTCTTTAAAATGGAGGATCCAATATGGCTGTCGAATTTTTTAGAAATTTATCAGATTTACTTGAAACTTGTTACTCGATGGTTTTTGGGGTCGCTGAATACGTATTTCATCTAAGTTTTTGAAAATTCAAAATGGCGGATCCAATATGGCTGACGATTTTAGAAAAAATTTATCAGATTTACTTGAAACTTGTTACTCGGGGTTTTTGAGGTCGCTAAATACGAATTTTATCTTTGTTTAAAAAAATGCAAAATGTCGGAACCAATATGGCTAGCGAATTTTTTAAAAATTTACCAGATTTTGAATTTTTGAAAACTAAGGTGAAATTCGTATTTAGCGACCCCAAAAACCCCCGAGTATAACGTTTCAGGTAAATCCTATACATTTTTTAAAAATTGGTCAGCCATATTGGATCCGCCATTTTGAATTTTTGAAAACTAAGGTGAAATTCGTATTCAGCAACCCCAAAAACCCCCGAGTAACAAGTTTCAAGCGAATTGGATAAATTTTAAAAAAATCGACGCCATATTGGATCCGCCATTTTAAATTTTGAATATTCACGAGTTTCTTTGATTGCTTAAAATCATATAATATTTATTCAGTGTGTTAAAGTTGTTCTTTAATAGAATCTTCTGCTTATTTTTATTTATATTTTGTTTACAGTCAGTTTTTACGAATTTTATTAATTTGTGAAGAAACTTGACGTGATGGTGGAAAACTGAGTTCGGATTCGAATTCAACGACCCAAAAAACATAAAACACATGGTCCGATCAATACTTCCTTTTAAAAAATTTTTGTGGTCCTGTGTAATAAAACTATAATAAAATTTGAACGTGAAAAAATATTGATGAAAAGATAATATTTTACCTGTCAATCTTAATGCAGATATATTACACACTTTAAGCAGGTTAAATAAACAAATAATGTACATTTATAATCCTGAAAAATTTATATTAAGAAATTAACATAAATACAAAGGCAGTCCTGCGGTCGCCGAATTTATTATGCTTGTTCATAATTAAAAGAGAATATCTCAACGATTATACGAAAATTTCTTTATTAGCAATATTATTAAGTTTTTTAAAAGTTATTTTTATAGTATAATTTTCCAAAAAGTTACTTTCTGCGACATTGGGTGAAATAAATTTTGCTATAAAATGTTAAATTAATATTTTCTTTTCAGGTGTGGTCCATGTCAACGAATTACTCCAATCTTCGATCAATTTTCCGTGAAATATTCGAATGCAGTATTTTTGAAAGTTGACGTTGACAAGTGTCCCAACACTGCATTGGATCAAGGTGTAACGGCAATGCCTACATTTATTTTCTTTCGAAATCGAAGTAAATTGGGAATTTGTCAAGGAGCTGACAAAAATACTTTAGAATCAAAAATCCAACAATTTTATGGAAGTGGTGATACTGAAGACACCGAGGGATCCGTTGCTGGACATGTACGATCTTCTGATAATGTCTATCTTCATATCTTTGGCATGTTAGCTCTTGTCGCGATTTTATATTTTTGGAATACTTTTTCCAAGGGAGACAATCAATAGATTTCAATTTCAAATTAATAAGAATATTTATTTTCTCCCCTTTGGAAAATCGTTAAAGACTTGAATCTTCCACACAACATAATACATTATTGTAAGCTTACTTTAAGCTTACACTATTTAGATAGATTGCATTAATAGATAAGCTAATGATAAAGTTTGCAGAAGTCGCATTTTAAGATGTGCTTCTAAGTGATTCATTAATATCAGATTACATCTGTGAGGATGAAATAATATTACCAGTATAGTATAGCAAATAACTTGTTGTTGTCTCCTAATGAGAAATCAGAATCGAATTTTTCAATTATTTATGTACTTTTAAGTATCTTCATTCAAAGCAGTTTATTTTTTGATGAATTTGAAGAAAAACATTTTTATTAAAATAAGTGATTTTTTAAGAAAATTTTAATTTGCATATTTTTATTAATATTAAGCAATGATAATGTAATCTTTCAACAAACTTTAAAGAAGCATATACAGTTTGCTAAGAAATGTTTTATTTAAGCTTAAAGTAATCTTGCAGAAAAATACGCTCTGTAGGTTTACTTCTACAGTTACAGAAACAAACAAGATATACTGTTGGCCCTGAAAAGTACCTCATTTTATTGCTCATAAATATTGAAACATCTTGAAATCTATTGCTACAATTTTTCCCGTTATTGAAGAAGATTGAGGGGCTGGATCAAAGGGACCATACAATCAAGTAGGAAAATTTTTTTAATTCTTTGCTAAAAAGACAAATTCAAAATGGCGGATCCAATATGGCGGACATTTTATTTGAATTCACTGCATTCGTTTAAAACTCGTTACTCGGGAGTTTTCGGGATCGTGGATAACAAATAAAAATTCAATATGGCAGACATATTTTTTTTAAATTCATCGAATTCGCTGATTGCGAATTTAAAGTTAAATTTAAAAAATTAGAAACATTGGATTTAGAATAATTGTAAATTAATGATGGAAAAAGTAAATGTGACGCGCTCCGAAGAAAGGTACCTAAGAAGCAAATCATTTTAAGGTTATGTTTATGTTATTTTTACTTTAATTAAAAGTTTCTGTTTAATTGTGTAAAAGTAAAAGCATAACTGTTGGTAATTTTAATACAGCCTCTCAATATAGTTAATTATAAAATATTACATTGCGTTTGTTATGAATTTTTTAAATTGAAGAGTATGTACATAATTTGTCATTTTTTGTATGGGTCTACTTTAGAAAACTGTAGATTATTAAATAAACATTCTATCAGTAACATGAACTTCTTCATAATGCTTAAACCTTTCTGAAATACTATTTTAATGAACATTGTTATTGTAATAACTTTTTTGAAATTATTTTAGTATTTTGCAAATTGCAAAACAAAAAGAATTTGATACTAATAACAACACATTACTACACGGATTTGCTAGAAAATTATTTCTAATGCTTTTTTTGAAAAAATTTCTCCAGCCATTGACTTTATAAATCATTAAAGCATGTTCATATATTTTTTACAGTTAATTAATATTTTTTACTAATTAGTTTAAAATTGTTTTTAAAATACTAAATTATATTTAGAGAAAAATTTACAATTGAAAAATGCAGCAGTTTGTTATATAAATATTACAAAAAATACATTTGAAAAGAATTTCTATTAAATATTGTTGATAATTATTTATGGAAATATATGAAAAATAGTTTTTAATCTTTACGAAGAAAATAAGAGACTAAAGGAAACAAAAAATTAAGTGTTAAAATTTTTTTCTTTCGTGGCAAGACTTTTTATGAAACAATTAAAATATCTCGATTATTTTATATACTTCACTCCCTCCACCAGAGCCAGCTTTATATTCTTCCTATTGCCGAATCAGTAAGTATACATAAACTCCTGGTTAATAACTTGCATCAAATGAATCGCTATTTAAAGCATTGCAAAATATAAAGTTATAGAAATATTCCGTCTAGATATTTAATTAATTTATTAATTATTAATTCAGAATGTACGATTAAAATTTTAATAACTATCAGCAATTATTTGTTCTGACAAAATAATAAAATTGTAAAATTTAATCATAAAAAATGTCTAAATTTAGAATTTAATAAAATCTAATTTTATAATTTAGAAAATGTTTCATTTGGAAAATTTTATCTAAATTTAGAGTTTTTAATGCAACTGAATTTTTATATGTTGTAAAATATTTTATCATAAAAGTTTTCGATGAGTTAATTAAAATCCAAATATTTCATCTGCTCAATTCATTTCCGCCTGCTTCTGTAAAAGTTGCTTAACTATTTAAAAAAGGCTATTAAAATTTCAATTTAGTGATACAATTAGAAAATTTTGTTCAAAAAGTATTCTATATAATTTCAAAAAAGTTATTACAATGATAATTATTGAAAATAATATGTTTCAGAAAGAAAATGCATTTTAGAAAAAGTTTAATGTGAAACATTTGAACCCAGATAGCTTGCAAGCTTGTGGCAAGTTTACCGTGCAATATTGCGAAGTTGAAAGTGCAAAATTGACGCAAGCTTGCCTAAAATGTTCATTATATTGCGAACTATCTTTGAAAGGTTGTTACAAGCTTGCAATCTTGACGTGAAACATTGCTGCAAGCTTACTAAGAAATGTTGAAAGGTAGCAGCTAGTTGGCTGTAATTTTTCGAAAATATTTCTTAAATGAAGAAAAAAAAATTGTTTCTTGAATTTGAAGATCATTCCCAGATAGCACGAGAGCTTACAGCAAGATTAACGTGCAATTTTACTAAGCTTGCAGCAAAAGATTTCTGCAAGGTTGTCATAGCCAGCAAGATGTCAACTGCTTGGCAATCTTTCTGTGATACAGAAAGTTCTCTGAAAGCTTACTATAAAAATTTTCTGAACGACTGCTACAAATTTCATGCAAGTTTGTTGCAAGCTTGATGCAATTTTTCAAAAACATTTCTTAAATTAAAAAAAAATGACCGGGATTTTGGAAATTTTTTTTTTTAAACACACATTATTTTGTGGGAAAAAATAGAAATATTTATTTTAAGACATATTAATTACATTTCATTAAAAAAGATTGAATGATCTTCTATAAAATCTATTTATTTTGTCAGGGAATTTTAACAAAAGTACTATAAAAATAATCAATTTCTAAAATTTATAAAAAAATTATGAATTTTGTTGTCCAACATAACAGACTTAGAAGAAGAAAATATTAAATTTAATTTTAAATTCTTTTTATTTTAGAATGTTAAATTAATATTGCTAATATTATTATAGATTGAATTTAAAAAAATTTCAAATTGAAGTTTTAAAAAAGTTAAATTTTAAAAGATTTTATTTAAAACTTCTGAATAAGTTAGTTTTTAAAAATATTTTTATTCACATTTTTTCAAATTAGTTGTTTTTAAATATGTAATATTTCATTGAAAAACTTTCAAATTATTCAAAATTTCATGAAATTGCGTCTTGTAAACAAGTGGATTTTAGAAATATTTTAGTTAAAATTTCTAGAATATAATTGAATTGAAATTTTGAAAATAATTATGCATAAGAAGGACTTTTCCCAATTTTGAAGATAAATGGTTAATTCTTTTTGGAAAAGCTTTCATTTAGCTAAAAAATGAAAAATCAGATGGGGGAAGACGAAAAAGTTGATTTTAGGAATGCCAGGGATGGGAAACAAATTTAAAATTATGATTTTTGAAATTTTTCAAATTTTTTCTTCTTTATAATAATTTAATAAGTTACAGTAGCAATTCTTAAAAATTATTCAAATTTAAAGGATTTGAAATTTGAATTTTTTTTTTTTTATTAAATATTTATTTCAAAAAATCTATTTAAGTTCAAAATTATTTTTGGAGTAAACTAAAATATTTTTAGGGTTTGGGAAAAAGTCAAAGTTTTGTCTAAAAATCAGAAAATTCTTTCAATCTTTCATGGAATAATTTATTTTCAGAGTTATTCTTTATGACCGGGAAATGACCGTGAATTTTTTTTTATGAAAAAAGTGGCCACCCTGAATATTAATTTTGCAGTAAAATTAACTGAAAATAATTATTCAATTATGGCCCACTGCTTCTTTCCAAATCAAATTCGATCGATATTTTTGTTTTCGTTCCCTATTTGTGTACAACAATAGTTATTATCTAAAGGAAATGCAATTTCTCTCAGAACTGTAATTTCTGGTCCTGTTTGTAGTTTAACAAGGTTAAAGTATGTAAATAAACTGCTGGTGTGTGAAATTATTTAAACAGGTGCAAATTGCATGTTTGCATGTCGCAAAAGGTTTTGAGTTCATGTTGTCATTTCGTCACCTCCAGTTCAAGTTATTTCTTCGCCTCTTCTTTAGCTTCAATTTAAGAATTAAAAATGCCGGTTGTTTTCAAAATCATAATTTTCTTTCTACCATCTATTTTTGCTAAAAGTGACAAAACAATTTGGTGGAAGTATCAAAACATTTATAGACACGAGACAGTAGATCGTCAAATATTCGATGTCGCGTCGTAGTGAACTCGATTAATTTTGACGTTAATCAAATTTTGTTGCTCACTGACAACAATACTGATGGTAGTGGTTCTGGGCAACTTGCTATCGTGAAAAAAATTCAGCAAAAGTTACCAACAATCCACTCGAGTTCTTTGCACTTCCATGATGAGAATATTGAGGATTTTTTTAATTTCGGAACGTTGTTAAATGTACGAGACACGACTTTAATTATTATAATACATAATGGGGAAGATTACGCAAAAGTCGAGAAATCAATGACGCAAATTGCCCTCTTGTCGTGCGCGAAAAGTCGCCCAAGATGCTTAATTGTACACTTTTCGAAAACAGTTGATGATAAAGAGACATTCCTTCGTAAAATGTGGATCAGCGAGCAATTTCTTGATGTGACGATAGTTGAAATTATCAGAAAGAAAACTAGGATTCATCAACTAAATCCTTTTTTCGGCTACAAGAATGAAAAGTTCAGTCGAGAGACTGTTTTATTTCCTGACAAACTACTAAATATGAATCGCTATCCACTGAAAGTTGGAATATTCCAACTACCACCTTTGGCATACCTGAAAATGAATTCCACAGATCATCTAATTGAAACATTCGGAAAGGATTCATACGCAGGGAAAATATTCTCCCAACGAATGAATTTTCAATCAATGATGTTTGCAACAAAGGAAAACAATTTTGGCAGATTTTCCTTCAACAAAAACGAAACAACTGGTTTAATTTATAAAATATTCCACAGACAATTGCAATTTGTAACTGTTACTTCCTTGTCATTTCACGATGATTACGATCGCGGGAGAAAGAACTTAGAATTTTACCTCGAATATGCAAAAGCTGAATACGAACAACTTGTTGCTTTAGTACCGAAGTTAACTGATTCTCAATCCAGTTCAATGAGAGCATCAGTTTTCTACATAATTCCATTTGCAATCGTTATCAACATAATAAATCAAAGTCTTCAGCATTTGTACAAGCTTGATGCTACCGTTTTCAATCCAATGGCGATTATTAACATCCTCCTTGGAAAATCATCGGGCAATGAGCCGCAAAAGTTACATGAAAGAATTATTTTCATGACCATGATTTGGATGTCTTTCTTCTTCTCGTCGGAAATTTTCGCATGGTTCACTGGCGTTAATCTTGTGAGTGATAATCAATTTAAAATTAACAGCTTCAAGGATCTGAATAAATCGAATCTTTACATTGGTACACAGATGAATACATTCTATTTGATTAATACGACAAAGGATCAAGACATCATTGCGATGGTTGCTAGGAAATATAAACTTTACCAATCTCCTGAATTGTGTTTGAAAGATTTGATTGAGGAGAAGAATGTTGCTTGCGTTCTGAAACAAACAATTGCCGATTGGTATTTGTTACAGTACAACAGAAAAGATCATGAGGTAATGAATATTATTCCTGATACTTTATACTCAACGATGCAAATATTTGCTCTTGAACCAGGTTCGTCGTATAGGCAGAAAGTAGAGTATTTACTTCAATTGATACGGGAATCAGGACTTGCGGAAAGATGGAAAGTTAAATTACTCGATTATGTGATGGGGAGGATGAAAATAGTGGATTTGGAAACAATTGAGAAGAAAGAGATTGTTCATGCTAAGATGTTGTTGATTTGTATTATTAGCAGTGGGCTCAGTCTGGCGTTTGTGGTATTTGTCGGCGAATTATTAATTTATAGAAATAATAAGTTGTAAACTCAAAAAAATTTTATCAAGATATCCAAAAGAATCACAGGTTACAGATGGAAGGTTGCCTTTTAAATAAAAAGTATCGTAAGTAACACGGGGCCAAAGCAGCCAAATTGTTTACATTCACATTTCGGGAATCAAAAACCATCGTAAAAAAATTGCTGCCTTTAACCCCTTGTTGATTAATATACTATTACAGGGCTCGAACCAGTAAAAGTATTTAAAAATACGGACTTTAGGGACCAAAAATAAAAAATTACGGACCAATTACTGACGAGAATATAACCAGTCCAAGTCAAAAAAGAGAACTTAAAACTATAAATTAAATTTTTCATAACTATAAAACATGAAGATATCGATGAAGATAATCGATTTCTTCATGTTTTATAACAAATAATTATTAAAGATGACCGAGTGATAAAATAATTTACAAGAATTTTTAACTACAATTCTTCTTTAAATCAAATATTTTTAATAATTTTAGAAAAAATTCTATATTCTATATTATTATATTATATTGTATTATTATATTATATATTATATTATTATATATTATTATATTATATTATTATATTATATTATTATATTATATTTTATTATATTATATTATTATATTATTATATTATTATATTATTATTATATTATATTATTATATTATATTATTATATTATTATATTATATTATATTATTATTATTATATTATATTCTATATTCTATATTCTATATTCTATATTCTATATATTCAATTTTACGAAATTTCAATTATCCGTAAATTCTTCAATTAAATAAATATTACAAAATAAAAACTTAAAATAATGTTAAAAAATTCATTTAAACTTTTTCAAAAAAAATAATTTCAAAATTCAATTATTTTTAAAAATTCACGCTATAGGTATTGCTTTTAATATTCATTTATTATCTAAAATTTTAAATGAAATTAATTTTTAAATCAATTTTTATTAAAAAAATTCAACTAGAATTCAACTATTTAAATACAAAAATAAATAATTACTTGAATAATTGAATGTTTCTTAAAATTCCATTCCCATAAAGAATCGTTATCAACAAATTTTCAAATAATTAAATTCTATCAACAAATTTTAATAAAATTTTTAAGAATAATTACATGTTTCGAGAAATTTGATAAAAATTGTATTAAAAATAATTGAAATTTAGCAATGAGTTTTATTATTTGTGAAAATAATTGAATCCCTAAGAAGAATTTTATTACTCTTGAACAATATTTCATTTTTGCAAAGAATATTATTACTGTTGAAAATAATTGAATTTTTGCAATATTTTGTAACTTTTACAAAATTGAATTTTTTTTCGTGTTTTTAATTAACCCCTTGACTGTGGATGACGTGTATACACGTCATGAAAAAAACTGGCCCAAACAGTGGATGACGTGTATACACGTCATGGCCCGAACAAGAAAACATCTTAACGTATATTCGCAAAAATTTTTACTCGGGGGTTTTTGGGGTCGCTGATCACGATTCTGAAGTCAGATTTTCAAAATAAATCATTTTTCATCCAAAATGGCCGCCAAAAATTTTGAAAAATTTCAAAAGTGGATAAATTCTTTTAAAAATTCTTACTCGGGGGTTTTTGGGGTCGCTGATCACGATTCTGAAGTCAGATTTTCAAAATAAATCATTTTTCATCCAAAATGGCCGCCAAAAATTTTGAAAAATTTCAAAAGTGGATAAATTCTTTTAAAAATTTTTACTCGGGGGTTTTTGGGGTCGCTGATCACGAATCTGAAGTAAGATTTTAAAAACAAATAATTTTTCATCCAAAATGGTCGCCAAAAATTTTGAAAAATTTTAAAAGTGGATAAATTCTTTTAATAATTCTTACCATTTAAACTTTGAAAAGCTAATAACAGATTCGTAATCAGCGACCCCGAAAACCCCCGAATAACGAATTTTAAGCGTATTCAATGAATTTTTCAAAATCGTGTCCGCCATTTTGGATCCGCCATTTTGAATTTTAAAAAACTAATGTCAGATTCGTAATCAGCGACCACGAAAATCCCCGAGTAACGATTTTTAAGCGAATCCAATGAATTTTTCAAAATCGTGTCCGCCATTTTGGATCCGCCATTTTGAATTTTTGAAAACTAACACCGGAATCGTAATCAGCGACCCCAAAAACCCCTTAGTACCTATTGTCATGAAAATTTATTTACAAGAAGGTCTTACACATTTTGGGACCATTTTGTTATATTTTAGCTACACACTGAAGGGGTTAAACATCTTCTGTAAATCCATTATTTTTAATAATTTTTGAAAAAGTTCTTTAAGAATTTTCAAATTCATTTGTTTAGAATTCAATTTTGCAAAATTTCAATTGTTCGTAAATTCTTCAATATGAAATATATATTAGAAAATAAAAACTTTAAATAATTTCAAAAAAAAATCCGCAATTAAAGTTTCTCAAAAAAAAAAAATTAATTTCCCAGAATTGTTAGTTAAAAATATGGCAAATTCAAATTTTCGAAGATTTTAATATGTAACCTTTTTAAAATTCAATTATTTCTAAAAATTTACGCTCTAATGCTTTTAAAATTTAATTAGAATCTAAAATTTTAACTGAAATCCATATTTAAATCAATGTTTATGAGAAAATTCTACTAGAATGCAATTATTTAAATACAAAAATAACAATTTATTGAATACTTGCATGTTTCTTAAAATAATTGAAATTCTGCAATGAGTTTCATTATTTATGAAAATAATTGAATTTCGGAGAAGAATTTTATTATTTATGAAAAAAATTGAATTACCAAAAAGAATTTTATGATTTATAAAAATAATTAAATGTTTGCATAGAATTTTATCACTATTTTTAAAAAATAATTGAAATTTTGCTAAGAATTTTATTAAAATTTTAGAAAATAATTGAATTTCGGAGAAGAATTTTATTGCTTGTAAAAATAATTGAAGTTTTGCCAAAAATTTTATTAAAATTGTAGAAAATAATTCAATTTTGGAGAAGATTTTATTGCTTGTAAAAAAATAATTGGAATTTTGTCGAGAATTTTTATAAAGTTTTGAACATAATTGAATTTCTGCGAAGAATTTGATTACTTTTTGAAAATAATTGAAATTCCGCAAAAATGTGTAATTTTTTTCTAAAATTCAATTTTTTGTAGTATAATTTCAACTAAAATTCATTTTTAAATCAATTTTTAATAGTAAATTTTACGAGAATTCAATTATTTAAACACAAAAATAAATAATTTATTGAAAAATTGAATATATTTATGAAAATAAATGAAATTATTGCAAAGAAATTTAATGACATTTTTATTATTTAAGAAAATAATGAAATGTTCGCGTAAAATTTTATCGGAATTTTTTGAAAATAATTAAATTTATTTGAAAAAAATTTATTAAAACAGTAGATATTAAAAATCATTAAATTATGGAAAATTTTTGAAAATAGTTGAATTTCGGATAAGAATTTTATTATTTATAAAGATAATTGAAATTTTGACGAAGATTTTATTAAAATTTTAGAAATTAATTGAATTCCTAAAAAGAATTTCATTATTTACGAAAATAATTGAATCTTCGTAAACATTTTATTGTTTATGAAAATAATTGAATGATTGCGAAGAAATTTATAAATTGTAAATAATGAAATTCTTGTGAAATTTTTATTATTTTTTGAAAATAATGAAAAGTTTGTGTAGAATTTTATTAAATTTTTTTTTAAATAATTGAATTCTTTTGGAAAATTTTATGAAAATAGTAGATATTGAAAATCATTGAATTGAGGAAAATTTTTGAAAATAATTAAATTTTGGAGAAGAATTTAATTATTTCTTAAGATAATTGAAATGTTGATGAGAATTTAAAAAAATTTTGGAACATAATTGAATTTCTACGAGGAATTTTATTATTTTTGAAAATAGTTTAATTTCTGCAATTATTTATAATTTTTCTAAAATTATCCAAATTATATCGTACAATTTACGAAGTTTTCATCCTTTTTGAATCAAATTACGGACTTTACGGACCTTTTTTAAAAAAATGGACTTTTACGGACTTCAAGCAAAGTTACGGACCTAGTTCGAGCCCTGCTATTACAGTTTCATTTTTTATCTGCAAAACACAATTTCACTAACAAGTGAAAGTTGAAATTTTAAAGTTATTTAAATACATGAAACAACTTTCTTTGTTATCTCCCTTGGTATTAAAAATTCGCGACATGTCATTTAATTTGTTAATAATATTCTGTAAAAACTTCTTTTGATTTTGCAAATCATGAGAAAGCTAAAAATTTCACTATTTGTAAATTTGTCGGGAATTTTTGTATTTTGTCATAAGTTGGAAACATTTTACTTTTGTAGATGGACTTGATCAGTTTTGTAGCAAAGACACAGTGTGAATGCTTAAACGAATCTGACGATCATCCTTTAGTTCAGTGTTTGTCGGCTGACGAGGGCTTCTTGGAGAGTGATTGCGATGAGCAACTCATCATTTCTTTTACTTTCCTGCAAGCTGTTAAAGTGCATTCTATAAAAATTAAGGCTCCAGCGGAGAAAGGTCCCAAAACTCTAAAGCTGTTTATTAATCAACCTAGAACAATTGACTTTGATATGGCGGACTCCAACACCAGTGCTCAAGATATTACGTAAGTATATTTTTTAATTGTAAGTCAACATTTTTTTAAAATTATTTTCAGAAATATAATTGTTTTTAAAAAATATTTTCGGATTTTCTCAATGAAATTATTTAAAATTTAACGACTTATTCTTATTTATTTTTCCACAGGGAATTAAAATTTTCCAATAATTTCAATGAAAAACCTTTGAAAATTTAATTATTTCTAAAAATTAAAACTGTAATTCTTCCGAAATTCAATTATTTTTTAAAATTTTTAAATAAAATGATTAAAAACTCTAAGAATTTTTTGATTTACAGATTTACAACGAAAGATGTAGAAGAAGGGAACCCAGTTCCTCTTCGTTACGTTAAATTTCAAAACGTGCAGAATCTCCAGATTTTCGTAAAGGATAATCAAAGTGGTGCAGAAACAACTCAAATCGATCATTTAGTCATTATTGGAACCCCAATATCGACAACAAACATGGGCGAATTTAAACGAGTTGCAGGAAAGAAAGGCGAGAGTCATTAAAAGCAAAAGAATGCCACACGAATTTCTACTAGACCATAATAATTCAACTTATTTTTCCTTTTTAATTCTGAAATTCTGAAACTAAAGCATAAAACTTGTTTGCATGTTGGTACTGTTTTCGACAATGGTCAAATACAAATGTTGCATTTTTATATATTATTGAGAAATATAGATTGAGTAAACAAAAAAAAAATATTCTAAACTTATGTAAAAAAAAATTGTGCCGATTATTCCGATTGAAACAAAAAAAAGAGTGTAGTTTTGTAGAAATGATATACACAAAAGAAGTGTAAATTTATTTGCATATATATACAATTTTTATCGTAAAAACCGGCTCAATTTTTTCAATTCATCAATCAAGAACAATTTCTATTATTTTGTTTTCTGAGTTTGGAAAATATTTAAAAATATTCTTAATAACATTGAATTTGTACCGATAGTTTGGAAATAAATATAGAATAATATTTGTAAAATTATGTATCTTTCTGCCACAACATTATACTTATAAATTACCCTACATAAATTACAATTTCATTTTATATTTATATGACTTATTTCATTGTATTTTTGTATATGTCGATAAGGTCCAATAATATCAAATCTACTTTATATATATACATAAAATCGATTCGTCTTGATGCAAGAAATACACTTTTATTGTATCGAGTACAATTTATAGTAAAAAATATTGTTTCGAAGAAAATATCCGTATGTTTTAAGATAAAATAGAGCAACCAATTTGAATGAAATATAATGAAACAAGTCATATAGAACAATATTTGTAATGAAAGGATCTCAATTAAAATTTTCATACTAAAAATATAAGTATAAATATGTACATAAGTAAATAGAAAACATTGAAATTTCTAAGAACAAAATGTACTTTTTAAATTTTATTTTTATGTATACGCCATAAACCACCACATCTACAGGAGCACGCCCATCTTTGGTCCCAAGCTCTTATTGCAGCTGTCCTCGTCATGTTATAAACTTGTGCTTTGCCTCCACATCTGCGACAGGAAAAGACAAAACCATTATTTCAGTTTTATGGTATTTATTTTTTTACTTATTATTTTATTGAAGGTGAGTAAGATAATAATAATAATAATAATAATTTTTATTTAAAAATATTTTATAATAAATATTTTAAATAAATTAATAAAATTAAATTAAATAAATAAAATAAAATAATAAATATAATAATAATAATATAATAATATAATAATAATAATATAATATAATAATAATATAATATAATAATATATAATATAATATATATATATAATATATAATATAATATATATAATATAATATAATATAATATAATAATAATATATAATAATAATAATAATATAATATAATAATAATAATAATAATAATAATAATAATAATAATATAATATAATAATAATATAATATAATATATATAATATATATAATATATATAATATAATATAATATATAATATATATAATATAATATAATAATATAATATAATAATAAATTAAATTAATAAAATTTTAAATATTTTATTTAAATTTTCTTAAATAATTAATTTTTTAGATTTTAATAAAATTCTTCCCAAAAATTCAATTAAGTACATGAATAATTATTTGAAAGAATTCAATTATGTCGATAAATAACAAAATTATTCCCGAAAATTCAATTTTTTGAGGCATTTTTAATAAAATTCTTTGCAAAATTCAAATATTTTCAAAAAATAACAATATTTATCACAAGAATTCAATTATTTTTTAAAAGTTTTAAAAATTTCTTCTTAGAAATTCAATTATTTAAAAAAAATCTAATAAAATCGTTTGCAAGAATTCAATTAGTTTCATAAATAATAAAATGCTTTTTAGGAATTAAATTATTTTTGAACAAATTTAATAAAATACCACACGCAGACATTTAATTACTGTCAAAAATTTTAATAGAATTCTTTGTAAAATTTAATTATTTTAAAAAACTTTTCGCAATTCAATAATTTTCAATATCTACTATTTTCATAAAAATTTCCAAACCGAATTCAATTATTTAAAAAATGTTTTGTAAAAATCTTCGTAAGAATTCAATTCTTTTCATGAATAATAAAAATTTTTCAGGAATTCGATTATTTTAATTAGAATTTACATAAAATTAATCGAAATAAATGCAATTATTTAAAAAATTTTATGAAATTGTTCGCAAGAATTAAATTATTTTTATAAATATTGAAATTCTTTCATGAATAATAAAATTCGTTGCAGGAAGTCAATTTATTAGCAGGATAAGAAAGAAGTAAATATTTTTGATGAAAATTAGGAAATAGTTAGGAAAATAAAATATAGAATGAAATTTTTGTCAGTTTTGTGAAGTGTGAAAGAACGAGTTCTTTTGGTCGTCAAGTTTATTTTTTCTATAGCTAATTGTTTCTACTTTTTTAAAATTAATCATCGAGTGCGAAGTCTAAAAATGCATACTTTTAAGAATTTTTTCTTTAAAAGTTGAAAAAAAATTCTTTGTTTAATTCAATTATTTTCAAAATTTTCAATTAAAATTATTCAATTATTCAAAAAACTACATTATTTTTAAGAAAAAACTTCAAGAAATTCTTCGAAAAAATTTAACTACGATTTTTAAAAATTTTAAATAAAAATGTTATAAGAAATTAATCTGAATTTCTTTTACTTTACCTTGTGCACTGCTTTTCAAAAAGAGGTTTCTTTCCAAGATAAAGGTGTCTAATTATATCAACAGTTTGACCACTTTGCACACATCCTTCGACTGGACTAAGTTCAGGAACGAATAATAACGTATCGGGCTCCACTCCGTATTCCAGCTAATATTAAAATCAAATAAATAATTTTGATAATAAAAGTTTCATATTAATTATCAGTAAGATGAAATCCTGTTCTAGTTGTAATAAATAAATAAATAAATAAAATTACCTGAAGTGGAAAGTTTTGGTAAGATAGCGACGGTGATGCTATTTCGATAATGTTATTAGGCTGGTGTAATTGTGGTACAAGTATTTGATTAGGCAGCAAACAACACTCATCTGTAAAAAGGTAACATTAGAGTGAAACAATAAACATACTTTCTATCGTCAGATTAACACCCAATTCGACTATTAAAAATTACAATATTTTCTGGTTATTTTCTACTTCTTGATTATAATTCATCAAAATTATTCAATTATCATAATTACAATTATGATGAATAAATATAAAATTTGTAATAAATATTTGAATTTATCACTCGGTCGTCTTAGTTAAAATTATAAAACATTAAGTTGAACGAGTTGAACGATCAAAAGAAGTGATCGTTTAACTCAATGTTTTATATTTTAATAAAATTTGTAACTCTTTAACGAAAAATTAAAAATAAAACCAAAAAATATCTAAGATTTACACGGAGCCTAATAAATAACCTGACGATATTTTGTGCATAAAAAGGGAACTAAATAGAATCCTTCTAACCAATTAAGCCATCGTCGATTTGCTGCGATTCTCCATTGCCATTGGGAGGCACAAGTTTCGACAAGAGACGAAAGAGTAAAGCCAAAACATCCAAATTGTCAACACTCCTAAGAAAGACAGGCAAACACGACGAACGCAATAAGCCCCAAATGCGAATAATTACTAACAGCTCGCGAACTGTATTCAAAGCCTTATGATCTCTCAACAATTCATACTGTAATAAAAGCAGAATAAGCAAAAGAATACACATCAATATTATATAGACAGTGAACTATTTAATAGTAAACTTACTCCACTTGTCTTGGTTTGCATACGTTGTTCGGGGAGTCGAACCAATAAATTAAGAGCTAAATCCGCAACCCACTGAATTAACTGTTGTAATGATTGAAGAGTGCTGGGTTCTACCGTAAACTCCTTTGGATCCAAATGCAACAGTATCTGTTAAAAATATAAATTAATTCAAGTGTCAAGATTACTGGTAAAAAATCGTCAAGAAAAAATGAAACTGATTAAATAAATTAAATTATTAACCTTCCTTCTAAATTATTATCTACTATCCAAACTGTAAAAGATAAGAAAGGGACATGTTTTTTTTCGAATTTAAAAATTTTTTAATTAATTATTTAAATTATTATATTATAAACCAAGCTTCACACTCAATAATAAATTTTAAAAATTATTAAAAAAATCTTCATTTGTCTCTGAGTAATCGTTCATTGAATTTTCTGAGTTTGTCGAATTCTTCGGAAACTGAGTAGAAACAGACAAAACTTCGAAAATAATGAAGAATATAACTACAAACATCTAAATTTTAAATAGTTCTGCGGATTTTTGATATAACTGAAAATAAATTCGATGTCAGATTGACAGAATTCAAAATGGCATATTTTAGGCAAATACAATCAATTTTTAAAAAATCGTCTGCCATATTGTATCCGCCATTTTGAATTCTGTCTATCTGACATTGAATTCGTATTCAGTTATATCGAAAATCCTCAGAACTATTTAAAATTTAGATGTTTGTAGTTAAATTCTTCTTTATTATCGAAGTTTTGTCTGTTTCTACTCAGTTTTCGAAGAATTCGCTAAACTCAGAAAATTCAATGAACGATTACTCAGAGACAAATGAAGATTTTTTTAATTTTCAAAATGGATATTAAAGGGGAAGAGTAGCACTTTTAGATACAATATTGACCTTTTAGAGAAAAAAATATCTCTTGATGTTACATGACATCAAGTATAACTAAAAACAGGTTTTTTTGCACTTTTAGGTTAAAATATCTCGAAAACTTGACGTGTAGGATCTATTTTAAGGCCGGATTCGGATTCAGCACGTCGAAAACCTTCGAAAAAGTATTGTCTGATTCTTAGAAAGTATAAATCTTGTCGGCCTATGTTATTGTAAGTTTTATTAATTTATTGTAAACGGCTTTTGAGTTACTAATTTTTTTCTAAAATGTTGTAATATTTTGTTAATGCAAAAAAAAATTTAATTTAAAAAAACGGTTAAAAGTGTTATTTTGTTTTATTGTGAACTACAGAAATTTATAAAAGTTTTAAAATTTTAGAAAATCAATAAAAAATTTTTAACACAGTTGAGCTGGTCTGACCCAAAAACTTAAAAAAATTGAGTTTTTATGAATAAATGTTGTAAAGAAAAGTTGTTTGTATTTTTCCAATCTGAAATAATATAAATTAAAAAAATTTGAAGTTTGAAAAAATTGAATTTTCAAAATTTTGAAACTACTGTAGTTTTTGTAGTTTTCAACGAAAATGTTTAAATTATTAAAAGTCAATTTTCGACCAAAACTAATACCTTCTCATGTGATGAGAATGTAAAAAGTAGCTTCTTCAAAAATTCGATTAGGATATTTCAAACCAATATTTAAATTCTTAAATTAAATTTGACAAAATTTTCAATTGTTTCAATGTTTCAAAATTGTTTTCGGAAATACAATTATTTTTAACAAATTTTAATTTCATTTTTTTAAGAAACAAATTTTTTCGAAATTACTAAATTATTAAATTATTAAAAAATTCAACACTTCTTATTAAATAAAAATTTTAAAACTTATTCTTAGTTTATTTTTCCACAGGAATTAAAATTTCAAATAATTTCCATGAAAAACCTTTTGAAACTTAATTATTTCTAAAAATTGCAACTGTAATTTTTCCAAAATTCAAAATTTTTTTTTTAGAATTTTTGAATAAAATTATTCAAAACTTTAAGAATTTAAAAAAAAATAATGTAATCAATGATTTTTAATATAAAAATTTTAATATTTTTATACTTTTGCTTTCCTTAAATTTTTAAAAAATTTAATTTAAAGATCTTTTAAAATTTAATTAATTTCTAAAATTCCTGTTATAACGCCTTAAATATTCAATTAATTACTAAAATTTTAACTGAAATTTTTTTTAAATCAATTCCCATCAGAATTCAACTACGAGAATTGAATTATTGAAATAGAATAATTTTTGTAAATTCATAAAATAAAGTATTTTCAAAAATACAATTATAAATAAATATAAATAATTTTTAAAGATGAAAAAATAAAATTCTTTAAAGTATTAAATTTATTTTAATAAAATTTTACAAAATATTCAATTGTTTCTATTTTTTTAAAATTATTTTCGGGAATTCAAGTATATCTTCAAAAAATGTAATTCCTAACTTTCAGAAACCTAATTTCTTTTAGAATTTCCAAATTGAATCTTTGAAATTTCATTTTTGTCAAAATAAATATTTAAATACTTATTGTTCTTTATTTGCTAAAAATTTCAAAATACTTTCACTGTAAAACCATTGGAAAAATTGTTTATGAAACTTTGAACTGTAAATCTTACAAAATTCAAATATTTTTTAGAATTGTTAAATAATTTGTTCAAAACTTTTATTTTTGAGAAAGTTGACAAATTAATAATTTTTTTATATTTAAATATTATTATACAGCTTTAACACTTCTAATTATTTTCTAAAGTTTTAACTAAAAGCCTTTTTTAAATCAATTCTTATCAGAATTCAACTACGAGAATTAAATTATTTAAGTACAAAAATAAATAATTCATAAAATAATTAATTATTTTTAAAAATTGCAACCGTACCTCTTTATTGAGTTTTTGAAATTTGAGTTAATTTTTTTATTTAACTTATTTTATTATTTACAAATAATTGTCAAATTTTGACATAACAACTTGAACTATAAAACAATTTTAAATAAAAAAGACTAACTTCACGTGAGGGCAGATTCATTCTAATAATGTTACTAAAACTTTTGAAAATAATTACATTTTTCAAGGAATTCATTTTAAATTGTATTAAAAATAATGTAATCCTTGGGATGAATTTCATTATTTATGAAAATACTTTAATTTTTATAAACAAATGTTATCAAAAGTTTAGAAAATAATTAATTCCTTTAAAGAATTTTTTGATAATATTTTAAATAATTGTTTTTTCTCGAAAACATTTCTTGAAAATTGTATTTCAAATAATTGAATTCCTGTAAAAATTTGATTATTCATGATATTAATTGAATTTTCGCGTTGAATTTTATTTTTTTTCAAATAATTGAATTCTTTTGTGAAATTTTATGAAAATAGTAGATATTGAAAATATTTGAATATCAGCGAAGAATTTAATTATTTGTAGAAATAATAATTGAACTCTTGTGAAAGATTTTCCAAAAATGTTTGAAAATAATTCTTTTTATTTCAACTATTAGCGGATTTAAAGTAGTGCAAATCCTCTAATAAAGAGTATCCAAATAGTAGCTAATCGTAAAAAAGTAGTAAATAGTAGATTTTAGTAGATGAGTGCGAAGCCTGATAAACGTTATTTTAATACCTTGTCTACATCAGCAATAGCATCGTTAATAACCACCGCTAAACTCTCAGCGGGACCTTTGTCCTGAGAAATAAGTTCTGAAGGCCTAAGTAACGACTTAAATGCTGCTGATATTGAGTTGATCATGAGTAGAGAAGATAAATCAGCCGCCTTATCTTGTCCATTTGCGAGCATTCTGTAAACCACGGAAATATCAATAAATTTTATTAATACTTATAAAAAAATTCGATATTCAAGAAAATTAAAACCACTTGCCTGTAGAGAGAAATTTTGATACATAAAAATTGTATGTAATAATACTGTTGTGTAGCTGGTGGTTGTCTATTGTAAGAGGCATCCAATCGTTCACAAAGCGTTTCGATCATTGCCGGTCTTAAGCAAAATAATAAATCCATCCAATCAAAACCAGTAAGTAAACAATATTCTAACAAAACGCACGCGTGATTTAAAGACACAGTGGGACCTAAAAGTACATTTTTATTAATTACTTTTACTAATTAAATTACTTCTTTTTATCTCTTAATTTTCTCAACTTAGTTGAGGGTTGCCACAAAAAATTAATTTCTTTTTTTCCCTGATTTCCAGACAGAATTTTGACTTTTTCTCTCTACCTAAGGAATATTCGGATTCACTCTAAAAATGATTAGATACTCAAAAACAAATTTATTACATTTATTTACGAATTTTCTTGATTGTAAAATTATTCAAAAACATCAATCACTTCATTTTTAAATAAATATTTAATTATTATTATTATTTCGTAGGAATTAAAATTCTTCAATACATTCAAATTCAAACCTTTTCGAAATTCAACAACTTATAAGAATATTATAATAAAACAGAAAGATATCAATCACTCATTCCATAAAAATTTTCAGAAAAAATAAAATTATTTACAAAAATCTTAATAAAATCCTTCGCAGAAATTCAAATTATTCTTACAAGTAATACAATTTTTTACATGAATTCCATTATTTAAAAAAATGGAATAAAATTCGTTGTGTAACAATTCAATTATTTTCAAAAATAATAAAATTTTCTATAGGATTTCAATTGGTTTTAATGAAATTTAAAATAAATTCCTCTAAAAATGTAATAATTTTCATAAATTTTTTGCAAGAATTCAATTACCTATTTTCAAAATCTACTATTTTAATAAAATTTCTCAAAAGAATTCAATTATTTTTAAAAAAATGTAATAAAATTTGTTGAAAGAATTCAATTATTTTCATAAATAAATAATATATTATTTATAATAATATATTATTATATACCTTATAGGATTTCAATTATTTAAAAAAATGTAATAAAAATTCGTTGTAAAAATTTAATTATTTTCATAAGTAATACAATTTTTCACATGATTTCAATTATTTTTAATATAATTTTAAGTAAATTCTTCGAATAATTATTTAGAAAATAAAAACTAAAAATAATTTTTAAAAAAATCCAATCAAACAGGTTCAAAAAAATTATTGTTTACAGAATTCTTAGCTAAAAGTATGCAAAATTCAAATTTTCAAAGATTTTAATTTGAAATCTTTTCAAAATTAAATTATTTCTAGAAATTGCAATTTATTAGTAATTTTTCTAAAATTCAATTAATAATATGGATATGGAATGAAGATCTGAGGAAGTACGAGAGAACATCAAAACACAAAGAAGAAGACAAGGAAGGGAAAAAATTGGTAAATTTGATAGAAGAGTGGGGAGGATCAATTTGTAATGGAAATATAAAAGGAGATGAAGAAGGAGAATATATGTTTATAGGAAGAGGAGAGTCAGTAATAGACTATGTGTTAGCAGATGAAAGGATGAGGGAATTAATAGAGAAAATGACCGTTAAAATAGAAGTGGGGTCGGATCATCTCCCGCTAGTGGTGGAATTGTCAGGAGAAAGTAGAAAATGTAGAGGATGGACGAAAGAAGAGAATAAAAAGGAAGGAAAAATTAAAATGGGGAAATGGGACATTGTAAATTTAAGGGAGTATGAAAAAATGCTGCAAGAAAAATGGGAAGAGGAAGAAAGTGAGGAAAGTGTCGATGAGCAAATAGCAAGAATAAGAAGGGATATAGAGAGAGTTAGGAATGAAGTAGGAAAAGAGATGGTAACAAACGGAGAGAAAAAAGGATGGTGGGATGAGGAGAGACGCATGCTTATTCCCGAAATCTTTTTTAACCAAATAGTTATTTGATATAAAACTACTTAACTTAAAATTCACATAATATGCACATTATTTGACATAAATTTCATTGCACACAAAAACCATTTAACATAAATATCATTTGTCATAGAATTCATTAAACAGAAATATTATGTTACATAAAACTCAGATAACTTAATTCCCGTTTGACATAGAAATTATGTAACATAAATTTCTAATTGACATCCAAATCATTTAACATAAATTTCTTTTGACATAAAATTCATTTAACGTAAATTTTATTTGTTATAAAATTCATTTGATATCAATTTCATTTGGCATAAATGTCATTTAACGTAATTCTCATTTGACATGAATATCATTAGACATAAAATTAGCTTGACATAAATTTCATTTGACGTGAATATCATTTAACATAATTATTATTTAACGTAAAATTAAATTTATACAAATTCCATTTAACATAAATGCCATTTAACATAATTCTCATTTGACATAAAATTTACTTGACATAAATTTCATTTGGTATAAATCCCATTTAACATAATTTTCATTTGACATATAAAGTTCATTTGATATAAAAGACATTTAACACAATTCTCATTTGTCGTAAAAGAAATTTAACAAAATTCTCATTTGACATAAAAATCATTTTACACAAATTACATTTTACATAAAAATATCGGCGCCAATTTTAAAAGTAACCAATTAGATATTATCAACAACATTGCACGGTGGTCTTCAAGCACTTTTAGGTTTACCTAAAATGAGTCAAAATTGTGCTAACGCAGTTTTATCTGGAATCGTCCCAAGATTCCAAATTTTCATTTCCGAAAATCGTAGCTGATTCTTTTTTCGAAAAAACATATATATGGGCAATTCCACGTGAGATTTAAGTCCATCTCTTAAAATCGGCCAAAAAATATTTTTTTTCTATTCTGTATCGAAACAAATTAGATTCGTATTTTTTTATTTTTGTTTAATTGTACAAATTTTCGAGTTATGAATTTTCGAAATTTTTGACTTGTAATTGTAGACTTATATTCAGTAGCTTATAATTCCGAAAATATTGAGTTTAGGAAAAAGTTGTCAAAAAATGAAAGTTTTAGTTTTCTTTCGAGTTTTAAGAAATGTAAACAAATTTTTTTTTTTATAAACAAATTAATTGTTTTTAACTTTGGGCCGGATTTAAAAAATTTTTTTTAAAATTTATTTATACCTTATAATATAGAGGAGAGTTTCCAAAAAGTCCCGAAATGGGCCTGATGTGTTAAATGAGTTTTAAAACATTTTCAAAAATCACTTGCAAGCATCACATGGGATATTTTTACAATTAACTTTTTAGAACTGTCTGCAGCGTATAAATTTTAATCTATTTGTGTTTTTTGTTTTAAATTAAAGGGTCTACGCTGTAGATAGTTTTAAAAAGTTAATTGTAAAAAAATCCCACTGTCGACTAAAATCTCACGTGGAATTTCCCATAGGGTAATGTCACCTTGAGTGGACCGCCTGAGCTTTTAAGTTATCTGACAGCGGAAACGTGAAATAAATAGTGCGAATAGCAGCACCGCACCTAGAAACCGTAAGAAATTAAGTTCCGCGATAATCATATACGTTATTGTTTGATGTAACGCATTTTTGAGAACACAAACCAAAAAAGAAGTCGCTCTTTCAATGAGTAAAGTGATTTGGAAGTGAAAAAGTAGTGTAAAATTTAAGTTTTAAAAGGTAACTTATTTTTTTCCTACTACTTTGGTCATTAAAATTGATTGTCTTAGTTTAATTTAGTGATAATTTTGACTAAAAAAAATTGTGATGGCTGCTATAAAAAGTTGTTTGTCACCATGAGTGGACCACTGTTTATAACCATGAGTGGACTGCCTGTTTTTTTCCATTTTTAATGTCAGTTTAACATTTTTTAGATATAAATTGACAATAAATTAGTTTGAAACTATGATTTATGTTCTTTTTTAATTTTTTTGTGATATTGATGTGATATGTGACAAAATTATTAAAAATGGTTTCACTTGTAAACATTGCGACACATACATGGTCTGAAGCTGCATAAGCATAAATTTTGTTTCAATATATCAGAAATATTAAATACATTAAAAAATTTAGAATAACTTTTACAATTTTTTAGGAGTGGTCCACTCAAGGTTACACTTTTTTCATTCATTAAAAATTAGCTTTTTTAAAAGTCAATTGTTTTTTCCAATAAAAAAAATCACAGCTATTATGGCATAAACACTTATCTAGGGATTTAAACTAAAGCTTGAAATAGAAACCTCCGATTAATTTGCTTTCATAAAGAATTTTTTAGAAAAGAAGCGTAGGCGGTCCACTCAAGGTGACATATGACATTACTCTATATATGTTTTTTTCGAAAAAAGAATCAGCTACGATTTTCGGAAATGAAAATTTGGAATCTTGGGACGATTCCAGATAAAACTGCGTTAGCACAATTTTGACTCATTTTAGGTAAACCTAAAAGTGCTTGAAGACCACCGTGATTGTGATTCGCCAATTTTGAAATTCGCGCCTATATTTCTATGTCAAATGATCTTTATGTAAAATGAAATCTATGACATCTCAATTTTATGTCAAATGAGAATTATGTGTAATGACTTATCCGTCAAATGAAATTGATATCAAGTGAACTTTATGTCAAATGAAAATTATGTTAAATGGGATTTATACCAAATGAAATTTATGTCAAGTAAATTTTATGCCAAATGAGAATTATGTTAAATGGAATTTATGCTAAATGAAATTTATATAAATTTAATTTTACGTTAAATAATAATTATGTTAAATGATATTCACGTCAAATGAAATTTATGTCAAGCTAATTTTATGTCTAATGATATTTATGTCAAATAAGAATTACGTTAAATGACATTTATGCCAAATGAAATTGATGTCAAATGAATTTTATAACAAATAAATTTTACGTTAAATGAGTTTTATGTCAAAAGAAATTTATGTTAAATGATTTTTATGTCAATAGAAATTTATGTTACATAATTTTTATGTCAAATGGGAATTAAGTTATCTGAGTTTTATGTAACATAATATTTCTGTTTAATGAATTCTATGACAAATGACATTTATGTTAAATGGTTTTTGTGTGTAATGAAATTTATGTCAAATAATGTGCATATTATGTGAATTTTAAGTTAAGTAGTTTTATATCAAATAACTATTTGGTCAAAAAAGATTTCGGGAATAAGCATGCGTCTCGATGAGGAGTATGAGAATAGCAGAGAGGAATTGAGAAAGTGTATAAAGGATTGGAGAAAGGGTAGAATAACGAAGAAGGATTATAATATTAGGCACAAAAAACACGGCAAGTTACTCAGAAAAAAGAAGGAAGAAGAGAAAAAGAGATTTATGGAAAAAGTGGAAAAGGCGGTGAGTGAAGGAAGAGAGTGGGAAATAATAAATGAAGGGAGAAAGAGAAGTAGTGTGGTGAGTAAAGAAATTAGCATGGGTTAATGGACAGAATATTTTAGAGAGTTAAGTGGAGGGGTGGAAAACAGAGTAAGAGTGGGAGAAAGAAAGAAAATGAAGAAGGAAGAGGTGGAGAAGGAGATACGCAGAGAAGAAGTGGATGAAGCAATCGAAAGATTGAAGAGAAATAAGGCAGCAGGATACGATGGTCTGGAAGGGGAGAGTATGAAATACGGGGGAGAGGTGATAAGAAAGGAAATGTGGGATTTAGTGAACAGGATTTGGAGAGGGGAAGGGTGGCCAGAGGAGTGGAGAATGGGGGTAATAGTACCCTTATTGAAGAAAGGACAAGGAAAAAAAGTGGAAGAGTACAAAACAGGAATAACACTCATGCCAATTGGATGCAAGGTATATGCGGAGATCTTAAGAAAAAGGTTAGAGGAGAACGTTGAAAGAGAAGGGGGAATACCACAGAATCAAGCGGGTTTCAGAAAGGGTATGGGAACGTTAGACCACATTTACACTCTAAATTATTTAGTAAGCAGAAATTTGGGAAGGGAGGGGGGTAAATTATTAGCTTAATTTGTAGATTTTAAGGCGGCCTTCCCGTCAGTCCGAAGAGATGTCTTATGGAAGACATTAAAAGAAAGAGGAATAGAGGACAGTCTGGTAGAAAGGATAAAGGAGTTATATATAGATGTAAAGGCTAGGGTAAGGGTGGAAGAGAAATTAGGAGAGACATTTTGGATGGGATGGGGACTTATGCAGGGTTGCCCGCTAAGTCCGCTTCTGTTCAGTTTATTAATGGCGGATTTGGAAGAGAAACTGGAGAAGAGAGGGAAGGGAGGGGTGGTGCTGGGAAAAGGAAGACTGTATTCACTAGCATATGCGGATGATGTGGTTTTGTTTGCAGAGAATGAAAGTGGAATGAGATTGTTATTTAGAGAGTTTGAAGTGTATGCAAGAAGTAAAGATTTATGGGTAAATGTGGAAAAGACAAAGATGATGAGATTTCGAAAGAAAAGGAGTGGTGATGAGGAAGTGTGGAGAATGAATGGGAGAGTGATTGAAGAAGTGAATGAGTTTTGTTATCTGGGGTATTGGTTTATGTATAATGGTAGTCACAAGTTGAATGTTAGTAGAAGAGTGGAAAAAGCGGGAAAAATTATGGGGCAAGTGTGGGGAATAGGAAAGAGGAGGTTTATGAATAATTGGAAGAAGAGGTTATGGTTGTTTGATGCGTTTGTATGGTCAGTGATGTGTTACGGAGTGAAAGTGTGGGGATGGTGTGAATGGAGTAGAGTTGAGAGCATGCATAAGAAGTACGTAAGATGGACGATGGGGGTAAATATGTGGTGTCCAGGGTACATGTTGAGAGAAGAGATTGGAAGAGAGAAAATGGTGGTGCGTCAAAGAAAGAGAGCATGGAATTTTGAAGAAAGAATGAATCAGGGGAAGGGAAATATGTGGACACAGGTGTGCTGGAAAGCGATAAAAGATAGGGAGGAGAGGGGGGTTAGGGAGTGGTCAAAATGGGAAAAAGCAAGGGTAGTGGCGTTAAAAGAGGGAAGTAAAGAAAGAAGGGGTGGGGTAATTTTGGAAGAGAGATGGAAGGAGAGAGATAAGGATGAAAGATGGGAGAGAATTGTGAACTCTAGGTACAATAGACGGTATAAGATGGTGAAAGGAGTGGGAGAGCCGAAATATTTAAAATGGATGAAAGAAGAGAGCAGATGGAGTAGGATGGTGTGTTTCAGGATGGGGGAGAGGATGAATGAATATAGGTATTGGATGAGAGTGGATGAAAGGCTGTGTAGAGTATGTGGGTATGAGCTGGAAGATTGGGAGCATGTGTTGGTTAGGTGTACAAGAGTGTCTGAGGGGAGTATGGGAGATGGAGTGGATTTTAAATGAGAATGGACAGGGGGAGATATGGATGAAAGAATTGGAAAAAATGAGAAAAGGTGTAATTGAAGTTATAGAGGACGAAGGGGAGGGTCAGGAAGAATAAAGAATTGTTAAAATAATATATTGATGAAGCTAATCTGGGTGAAAGAAACCGGAAACGGAGGCCCGGGCACTGGCGGATAAGAGTAGTTTTAAGTAGATTGAGTGCGAAAAATTGTAATTAGGTTACGGCGATATGTAAATACTTGTAAGATTTTTGTAATTTTATTTTGTAAAAGGATCCTCGAACCCTGCTGTGCGCAGGGAGAGTAAATAAAAACTATCTATCTATCTAATAATTTTTTTAAATTTCTTCACAAAATTAAATTATTTTCTTAAATAATAAAATTTTTCACGCATCGCATAATTTTAATTACGTTTAATGCAATTTTAATCGAATTCCTCGAAAAATTAAATTCTCATAAAGAATTTTAATAACAAATTTTTAAATAATTGAATTTCTTCGTCGAATTTTAATAAAAATTTTAAAAATAATTCAATTTTTCGAGGAATTTGATTAAAATTGTATTAAAAATAATTGAATTCACGTAAAAAATTTTATTATTTAAGAAAATAATTTAATTTTGTGAAAAAATTTTTTTAAATTTATTAATTGAATTCCTGTATACAATTTTTATTTTTTTTGAAAATAATTAAACTTTTGCGAAGAATTTTATCAAAAATTTTTTTAAATGATTCAATTCTTTTGGGAAATTTTATTAAAATAGTAGATAGTAAATATCATTGAATTAAGAAAATTTTTTTAAAATAATTGGAATTTTGCCAAGAATTTTATTAAAATTTTTTAAAATAATTGAATTTCAGAGAAGACTTTTATTGACAAATTTTTTAATAATTTAATTTTTTCCACGAATTTTAATAAAATTTTCAAAAATAATGACATTTTTCGAGGAATTCGATTAAATTGTTTTAAAAAGAATTGAATCTCTGTAAAAAAAATTTATTATTTATAAAAATAATTGAATTATTGCAAAAAAATTTGTCAATAGTTGAATTCCTGTGAAATATCAAATATTTATTTATGGAAGTAATTTAATTAAATAATAATAAATAATAATAATAATAATTTAATTTTTTTTTTAGAATTTTATCAGATTTTTTTAAAAATAATTAAATTGTTTTGAAAAATTTTATTAAAATTAGTAGATATTGAAAATCATTTTTTCCAGTGATTTTAATAAAAATTCCTGACTTTTCTCTGATTTCCCTGACCTGTGGCAATCCTGAACTGATAAAAATATCAATTTTGAGAAAGTAGTTGAGCAGAATTATTATATTTACTGCAAATTGTTTCTCTTACCTTCAGGTAGTAATTTGTACAAATATAAATTCCCGTGAGTATCACAGGCAGTAAGTACGCAGCCAAGCCAAGAAATATCAATGTGTGAAATAGACACATTCATCTTAAAGTATTTATTACTGGGCTCATCCTGATAACGAGCCATGTTCACAGATGAAACAGCTAGTTCTTTCAGCGACTCGTGATTCATGCAACGAATCGACGAATCAGCCAAAGCAACAAAAATATAACTCGCAGGCGGAAGCGACGTCGAAATTGAAAGTTTACTAGTTGCAATTGCGGTAATGGGAGAATGACATTTGTAATGTGCCTGATGTTGCCAAACCTAGATTTTAATTTAATAAAATTAAACCAACATTTATTATTCAGTTACTATAAGTAATATAATCCCGAGTTTAAAAACCATTTCATTAGGAATAAAAATAGTTACCACAGTCTTGAAAGGATCAAGCTTTTTCACTTGAAATAAGTTGTGAACTGTTTGTGATTTTTCTCTCAATTCCCATAATTCAACAAAACCACTGTTTTCGGTATTTGCTGCCACAACTAAAGTATCAGGTGCTTCGCGTACTACGAATTTCAATCGTATGACATTAGTATCTATAAAGTGCAAAAAAATCTGTTGTAAATTTGTTCTTAAACTATGCAATAAATTTGTCATTATTCAAAAGTATTAAAAAAATTATTGGATTCTAGAAAGTTTCAAACTTACTTGTGTTTTCTTTAGGTGCTCCATCTTGAAGGAAAAAGCTAGGCAAGGCTAGAGAGGTTATAACACATTTTTCATCAGTTTTACGGACGAGTACTCTGTAACATCTAATCGGATGTCCGATGTTTCCACTACTTACAGCCACAACAAAATGACCATCTGTATAACAGAAATATTTATAAATTTTTCTCCGACTTGCACTATTTAATTAATTTTAGTAATGACTAGCAACAATTCGCGTCCAGTTAACTCTTTCTATACTATTTTATATAAAATTAACAATTTTAAAAATGATAAAATTTAAAAATTTATAATTCAAATTTTTTTTTATAAAAATAAAATATCGGGAATGTGTCTAGTTGTGAGAAACCTCCAGCTGTGAAAAAAGAAACATCACAAAAAGTTTGTGAGATAATCACCTCCAAGTTATTTAATATTTCTAATTCAAATGAGCAAAGCGATGAGCTCTTAAGTCATTTAAAAAATGAATTTTACATGTCGAAATCTAACGAAAACAAACAGACCAGTATTTTAACAATTTTGCTGACAACATGGCCCATAAGAAAAATTAAGTCAATATTTAGTGCTTCTAATTGCACAGTTCGTCAGGCAAAACATTTAATTAGTTCGAAAGGATTTTTAAGTTCACCTAGTCCAAAACTAGGAAAAAGTTTGTCAGAATCTATGTCATCTAAAGTTTTAGACTTTTACAGGCATGATGACAACAGTCGCGTTATGCCAGGTAAAAATGATTCCATTTCGGTAAAAGTCAATGACGAAAAAGTAAAATTACGCCTAATTCTATCAAATCTCAAAGAATTGTACCAAGCTTTCAAGAATTTATATCCCGAAGAAAAAATTGGCTTCTCAAAATTCGCCGACATGAGACCCAAAGAATGCGTTTTAGCAGGATCAAGTTAACAGGATACAATCAACCACTGGATAGCGCAATCCATATGCAATCCTGCACAAGTTTCGTGTTTTTTTTAATGAATGTCCCAATTGTCCAGGCGATGAAAAACTAAAACTTCTATTAGAAGAAGCTTACGAGAAAATTGGTGTCAAAGAAATTACTTATAAGCAATGGCTTACTACTGATCGCTCAAACTTGGAAACAGCAATAAAGCCAGTAGATGAGTTTATTCTTCATTTCAGTGAATTAGCAAAGAAGCTAATTCGTCATGATTTTATTACAAAGCAGCAAAGTCAGTATCGCGAATTTTTGAAATGTATCTTAAAAGAAGGAGAAAATTATAACTCTCTTAGACTTTGCGGAAAACTACACAATCATTCTTCAAGATTCGTCTCAAGCTTATCATTGGACACAAACGCAGGGATCACAGTTCGTTCCCTTTTTCCCCTATTCCCCTTTTTTTCCCATTTTCCCCTATTTTTTCCCCTTAAAAAAAAAATAAATCCCCTTAATTCAAATATTTTCTCCCCTATTCCCCTTTTTTCAGTAAATTTTTTTTTGAAAAGTAAAAATTATGATTTAATAATTTTTTTAAAAGATTTTACAGGGTTTTCAGCGTTCAGGAAAGGCAGGGACATTTTTATAAATTTAATAAGAAAGTTAACATTTTTTGTGAATTTAAAAATTTTGTAATCTAACAAGACTAAATTGGTTTTTATTACTATTTGTTACTCCAATTCGATATTAATTTATTCCTCACCCTAAAAGAAGTAATCTTGATTTAATGCGGAATCCTCTAAACTTAATGCATATTTTCCTCTTATATATGGTATCAAAATTAATACTCTTCACTTTAGAGGATTTTTCTCTCGGATATTATTTGCAAATTGTAGTTATGAACTGATGAAGAAAAGTTAATTTTATGCACTAAATTTAATGTTTTTAATTAAATAATTATATTTAATAACTAAAAGTTAATTACTTACATTATTTAATATATTTATTCCTTCATTTATTTCCTTTAAATATTCAATGTTTTTGACAAATGTCAATAATAAAACAATGAATTAATTAATAATAAAAATAATATACATTCAAGTCGAATAGTTTTGTTTTGAGAGGAAAACATTAAGAGGATATTAGAAGAGGATTTTTCCTCTAAGTATGAGATTACTTTTTTCTTATATTTTATTAACTATATTATAGTCGAAGAAGAAATAAGGAAAGTAAAAAGTCAGGGAATCTTTTTCTCAATCCTTGTTGGACACCCTGATTTTATTTTTGTAAAATGTTTAAATAGCGCGCAACATAAAACAAACCTTAGAAAACTCCATATTATACACTGAGAGACCTTTGGGTCAGCAGCAGACTTTCGATAGGCTGCTACTGACCATTTTGGAGGAACGCTACAGGACTATACTTTTGGGTTGCTGCGGTAAAATCTTGGGCGCGTGACAGTCCCAAAGTTGTTCAGCTGCAAACCAAAGGCGGCATTATCACTACTTTGGTGAGCTGCTCACCAACATTTTGGACTGTCACGCGCCCAAAATTGTACCGCAGCACACCAAAATCATAGTGGAGCTGCTGTCACATACGTTGTTCCGCTACAGTCCCAAAGGTCTCTCAGTGTACCGTAAAAAGAAAAAATGGCTATTTTTTCTTAAATTATTTAAGAAAAAAGGAGCAAAAGAAGTCAGATTTAATCCAAAAAGCTGTAAATAGAAGGAAAAATAAAAGTTCAAAAAAATAAACCCTGTATGTTGTAACAAAATAATTTTTATCGTGTTTTTCAAAATCCCCTTTTTTAAAAGGGGTCCAATTCACAATTCACAATTGTAGAATGACTATAGTTGTACGAAAATCTAAAAGTTCGAAAGCATACATTATATTTCTTGTAGGCTCCGTAAGTGATGTTTCGGCATTTCATTACACAGACCTTTATATTGCTTTACAAAATGGAGATATAGATTTACCCCAAAATTCTGCACTTCCCGGGGCTAATATCAAAATGCCATACTTGTTTATTAAAGATGAGATTTTTCCACTTACTTGGTACTTAATGAAGCCTTTTCCAAGAAACCTTATCCTTTTCTAACTCATTCTTCCGCTTACAATTCAGATTGTGGTTACGGTTAAGATTCTATTCTGAGTTTGCCTTAACATGAAATTGCACTTTTATGGTGTATCACTTTTGCGCATTTTCTTTCAAAAATAATGTGGTTTCTTCGAATCCAAATGAACGATATTTATCAATATATGAAAAATGCAAGGATTCAGTAAAATGTAAAAACCGTTTTTGTGGCATAATTGAAGATGAACCCCTTTCTGAATCAGATGTTTGGATCAAAGTCATTTGTAACGATACAAGATGTTCTCCCCATGAAGTGATGAAACGGCAGTTACGTAATGAAAAACGGCAAATAATTGGTAAGCAAGTGTTAAAAGAGGGTACAGCAAATTTGCGACAAAAAATAGCTTGTAATGAGCAAATATTGGGAGATGTAGGAGCTCCTATCATGTTCTCCGGAGATGCATTGAAAAAACTGTCTCAGGAAACAAAAGATAAAGAAATAGGTGTGGACACATCGAACGGAAAAGATCCTTTTTTAAATTACATTCTGCCAGAGCAAATATTTCTTTATAAAGAGTGTTGTCGATTACAAAAAAAACAAGCTGCAATATACTGTGACAGTATTAAAAGTCTTGTATTTCCTGAACAAAGTCAGGACCAAGGAAAAGCAAAAGTTATTTTCATTTTTGAAATTATTAACATTTCTCAGATTACTGTTTCAATAGGACAAATGCTTTCACCCGTTCACGATACCAACACGGTTCTCTACTTTTTAAATTCATGTCTAATTAAAGTTGGCATTATACCGAAAGAAGCAGTCTCTGACTTTTCAAGCACTGGCACAGTGTCTTTCATTCAATTGTATTCCCATTCACAGTTACATTCACAATTGCTTTGCCGCTCTCAATGATAGACAGATATATTGTTCAGCACCAACTTTCATAAGAGTAGACGTAGCTCATTTAATCGCAATAATTTGCATATTAAAATGCTTTAACAGCGATAAAAATATTGTGAAAGACTTTTATATTCGTTGTGTGGACCTTATGATTTCATGCGAGGAATTCACTAGATTCGAGGAAATATTATTATTAACGTTGACAGCGAGCATTTATGCTTATGATTGAAACGTTAAAGACACAATGATACCATCTGCTGCTGAAGCTGCAAGATTAAAACTTGGGAAATACGTTGCGGAAGATCATGGGCTGTGTTATTGCATCAACCAATAAAACTAGAGATCTTATTCCTCCTCATCAATACGGATTTCGAAAGGGTAGATATGCCATGGACTGCGCTGCATTCTTTGTTGCAGTCACATCTGCTGGCATTGTTGACTCTTTTAACACCCTCGCTATCTCAATTGACATCAAAGGAGCTTTTAATATAACGTAAGACCAGACATACTGCACGACACTTTGACTGAATTTTATATTCATCCTTGCACTACTAACGTTATTAACCATATAACTTCAAGTAGATATATTTACTTTAGCTCCTCTGCTTCTACTCCAAGAAGTTTCAGAAGCAATCAAAGTCCTTTCAACATAGCTGAGATCCATGTGGAGTTGGCGTTCCTCAAGGGGGATTACTCTCCCCCCAGTTATCTAATTTATATCTTCGCAAACTAGGATTTCTCACCACGCGACAATTCGAAGCAGTAATCAATTAGGAAACATTAATTATTATTCAGTATTGATCTTGTCTCCAGTTTGTTTACATGCTTGACGTTAGTAATTTGTTGTCGCTATGATTTGGTTTACAAAATATAAGTCCTTGTCAATTGCAGAGAAAAAGAAAATTATTGAAGCTGTTTAAAGTGGTGAAAAAACTGATGTAGCTAAGAACTTTGATATTCCTCTTTGTACCGTATGTACTATTTTAAAAAAAATATGTTATTGTTGGTGCTCGATTAACCAGTGGAAGAAAACGAAACGTTAAAGGAGAATTTCCACTTTTGGAAGAGTGTTTACTAACATGGATTCGACAATGTAGGGAACAAAATATTTCAGTGAGTGGTCTTTTACGAAAAGAAAAAGCGAAGGCCAAAGGATTTAAACATTTCAAGTTTTTCGGCAAGTGAGGGGTGGCTTATAAATTTAAAAAAAAGGAATGACATTGTGTTAAATAAGATTTGTGGAGAAAGCGCGAGTGTTAATGTTGATGTATGTTTAG